TCCTCGCGGCGGTGGTCCAGATGGCCAAGACCCTGTCGGTGTTCGCGCAAACACGCGCGTGATATACTCGACGATGTTGATGCAGTGTGATCCAGATCTCTATGACGGTCCGGACTCGAAGAATTACTTCGATCCGGGCAAGTGGATTCCTGAACGGTGGGTTTCGGGCTGGTCCCCGCGTCCGTGGCAGTTTGTTCCTTTTAATGGGGGTCCGCGCATCTGCATCGGGCAGCAATTTGCTACTATCGAGATGGGGTACACGATTGTTCGGATCTTGCAGGCTTATGAGCGCATTGTTGCGCTGCCGGTTAGCGGGAAGGACAAGGTTGAGGATCCGATTTTGCGATTCGAGATTACGCTTAGTCCTGGCTCGGAGTTGAACTGTGTGTTTGTGAAAGAAGGAGAGGAATTTGCGCGCAGTTCCTCGCAGATGTAGGCTGGGCCTTTCATCTCGAATTCGATTATTGTAATTTGCTGAGTTGTTGGTGGTTTGGCTCGGGGGACTTGACTTGGAATGTTTTACCGCAATGCTGTTGGAAGTTTGGGGAAAGGCTGCTTGCTTGCTGCAATGTACATGATATGATAACCACTCTGTGAATATGAAAGGTAATTTGATTGAAATCAATCTCGCCAATTGAAAAGAAAACTGGGAAGGAGATACCTGAAGCTCTATCTCACAACTATGTAAAACCCACTAGCATTCGCGTAATCTGCGAGCTTAACGTGAAATGTCCTCACGAAACCCTGTATGAAGATAGGCACCTCACTTGAAGTAGCCAATCTTGAGTTTCCGCAGCCTCTTTAACTCCTGCAAGATTTCCACTTTCCTCAGATCCAGAAATAGATCTTCCTCATCGGCATCATCGAGATCACTCGATACACTGATGATCGGTGCCTTCGAAGGCGCGAATTCGAGGTTCCTCTTGGCTGTCTGCGCTTTGAGCTTTATAGTGGTGTTGGCGCAGGCTTCGGAAACAATATCCGAGATCAGCAGAGATCTACTTTGCGTCGAGGATAGCTTTAGCGATGAGACATTGCAGTTCTCCGCTAGGGGAGTTGGCGTTTCGTTTGTTTTTGCCTCTGGAGATATGCCGTTCGACGTTTCAGTTTTATTCTTCGTCTCGATCCAGCCGCGGCTCATCTGAACAGCCTTTTCCCATTCTGCAAACTTAGCTGTACCCTCCTCACGCGTGATCTGTGGTTCGAACACCGCGCCGCCTGCTCGGTTGATATCTCGCAGCTCGGCGAAATTGCGCCACACGCCAATAGCGAGACCTGCTGCGATTGCGGCGCCTAAAGCAGTGGTTTCGCGCATTTTTGGACGATATACAGGAATGGAGATTAGATCTGCTTGAGTCTTTAAATTTCGAAATTAGTCTCGATAGGTCTCTGTTTTAGGTAGTGCACTGCAAACCTGCATTGTCAAGTCGGAGTTGCTCATTCCTCCATCAACGGCGAGTTCAGAGAGTGCCTTTCCACTGTCTTTTTCCATGGCGTCTAGGATGGCCTTTGTTTGGAAGCAAGTGGCTTCAAGTGTTGCGCGGGCAATGTGCCCCTTTTCTGTGTACTGGGTGATACCGACTGGGTAAAAGTATATGTTAGACATCGGCCATACACTGAGGCGGAGATTTGAAGCCAATATTTACAGATTGTCCCCTTCGCATCGTCAATCCAATATGGGGCAAAAAGCCCACTGAAAGCTGTGACAAAAACACAGCCGCCATTGTTTTCAACCGATAACGCAAGGTCATTGACCTCCCTGGAGTCCTGGAAGAAGGTCAAATTGTTTTGCAAGAACTTCACCCCGGAGCCAGCAACTGCAACGCTTCCTTCTAACGCATAAACTGCTTTGCCACCAAAATTGTACGCTACAGTTGCCAGCAACCCATGTGTCGAGATGACTGGTGAATCGCCCACGTTGTAAAGCAGGAAACAGCCAGTACCGTAGGTATTCTTCGCCATACCGGGAGAGAACCCTTTCTGCCCAACCAACGCAGATGACTGATCACCGAGACATCCCATGATAGCAACGCCCTCCAAAGCGCCTGACGCCAACCAGCCGTAGGCAGACGAATCAGACGAAGGAACAATAGTAGGAAGATGAACTTTGCCCTTGATACCGAAAAAGTCGAGCAGGAAATCATCATACTGCAGAGTGTGAAGATTCATGAACATGGTACGGGAAGCGTTTGTCGAATCCGAGACAAAATAGTTGGTACCGACACCGTTCAAACGATAGACAAGCCAAGAATCGACGGTGCCAAACGCGAGGGTACCTCGATCGAAGGCTTCCTTCACCTTGGGAGCGTGCGCCAGCATCCATAGCAGCTTCGTGGACGAAGAGTAGGTGGAGAGCGGTAGACCGCAGATTGCTTGTAATTTGGATGAGTTGGGTTTTTGTTTCAGCTCGTTCACGATTGCCTGAGATCGAGTGTCTGTCCAGACAATCGCATTATGAAGAGGCTCGCCAGTCTCGTGATCCCAAACGACAGTGGTTTCTCGTTGATTTGTGATTCCGACGCAGTGGATGTTGGATCGCGAGTACCCTTGTGCTTCGAAGTCATGGACTGCGTGGTCGATACAAGTTTCGACGGAGGAGACGAGTTCGAGGGGATCGTGTTCATGCCAGCTTGGGGAAGCATCAATATCAGTAGAGTAAAACCAGATATAAGCGAATACAAGAGCGCCTGATTGTCTGTACCTACCCTGGATTAGGATAGATCTGAGTAAACTCAACTTGGTGGGAGGCAACGGGCTCTCCATCTCGATTGAAGATGAGGAATCGAGTGCTGGTTGTACCCTGGTCGATCGAACCGACGAATATTTCCGAGTCCTGCATATTAGCCATGTGTTTACTTGAGAGTGATCTCACGCCACAAAGTTCTCAACCCCAAGGGGAAGAAGACCAGCAGACATCTTAAATAACCACTGCCTCACCGCAGTGACACCAATCCTCCCGGGGGGGGGGGAGGAGAGCTGCTTATGGGGGGGTCAACTGGTCTCTGACCGTGTAGATTGGTGGAAATAATTCGCTGGCGACGACCAAGACGACTAGGGCATTCACTGCGGCTTAAGCGCCCGGTTAGTGTCTCTCTGTGGGTGAGAAATGTATCTGTGTATCTGTCAGGGATCTAGGAACCCCAGTACGACGCAAGGCAATGCACCCTCGAGGGTCTGCTGTTGGATTCTCATGACCTCTGGAAGTTGCCCTACCCATAGGCCGAGAGAGACTTTGGATTAAAGAAAAAAAAAGCCATGCTGACGATCCACTCGACTCCACTGACCGACAGCGACGATCCGGGGAAATGAAAGGGGGAGAACCCACATTTGGCCCCAACGTCGGAAGTCGGAAGTCACGAAGTCACGAGGCTGTACCTTTGTTGACTTGTTAAGTCAAACTACTTCTGCTGCTACAGTCTGCGAAAAAAAAAGCACCTCCCATGGCTATATCGCACTCTGATGGTCACTATCCCTACAACATTCAAACCCAAGACGTGATCAACGCTGCATAGCCCGAATCCCAACGCTCGAATCCCAATTACAGTCCTGCTAGTCCTGTGGTAATAACTGTGCCTTTGCGGAAGACAAACTCCTTGTTCCTCTTTCTTACCATTAGCCACTCATCTTGCCCCTAGCCTAGTCCATCCCAGCGCTGACATATCACAGAGCATGGGTTAAGGTGACACACGGGCGTTGCGCAGGGGTGATATCATCTCCATCGTGACAGTTATTTAGGGTTCCAGATGTGACGCTCAACGTTAAACATAATTTATAGCACAATGCATAGCTGAGAGCCATTCGGATAGGCGAAATAGGCCAAAGAGTGCAATGGAAAGACCGTCAGACCGACACATTGACAGACCGACAGAAGAGAAGACTCCAAAGCAGCAAGCGAACAGCCGCCAAATTGAGACCAGCGGGCTTCCGCTATCGGACTTGTCAACTTCCTCCGTCTCCTTTCCAACTCTCAACATTGAGAAAGCTTCCTGAAGGTAGGAAAACTCAATCTTCGAGAAATTACAATTGGGCCCGCGTGGACTTCGCTTTGCCAATTTGGTGACCGTGAGTATCAGGAGGAATGGAAGATTCTCCGGGACTTCAATCTCCAACATGCAATTCATCTCCCCTCTCTGAGTAAAGTATAACCCAAAAAGATTAAATCTAAGAGAAAAGGAGAGGTTTACTTGGTACTTCGCACTCTTTACAAGTGGTGACACCCTCCATCTAGCGGTGTCACCCTGAGGTGTCCATGCAAAAAAGCATGATTGTCTTTCTCTCTGCCAAATGAGACCAATAAGAACATAACAATATACATCATTCTGGGAATTGAATCAGCAGAAATCTGAAATGGGCCGGTGCCTTCCGGCTACTCAAAGTCAAACGGCTGCTGTTGCTACAAACGGAGAGCTCCAGCGGGCCATTGCTTGATGGCTGGCCCTGCCCAGGTGTTGTTGGGCACGAGATCCGGATCTATCACAATTTTGCTCTAATAAATAGTCGGTCTGTTGGGAAACGAAAGAGCACTGACAGCAGTAGATTAGTATTTGATGTGCGTTGTGGCTGGCGTCAGAGCCACAAAGTTCACGGTCATCCCGAGTCGGTCCCATTCTCTCCTCCTTCACCAGGCAGACCGGACCAATTCCCTCGCTCCATTCCCCTTGCACAACTCACACGGCCTTGAAAGTAGGCAAGATACACGCCTTTCTGCCGAGGACCCTGCATCATCCAATATACCCGAATTACAAGGGATCCGTTCAAGAGTTAATCGCAGAGGTTACACGATTATGCCTGGTGAGCACCTGGGCAATGGCTGATACTATATCGTTGGATCTCGACGCCAGTTCAACTTGAACCTTGGAAGTTCTCGCAAAGTCCCGTCTACACTGGCATTCACCAAAGTACTATATACTACTACACACCGGCATTTTCCGTTGTTCAACTTGCATTTGTTTGTCTCCGTGGGACGTTGAACTAGAGTCAACGTTGATTCCATGCTAGCTATGCACAAAGAGGTTGGTATTACCACAAGGCAGGATAGTGAGTCTACGTCGCTATCTCTGAGAAGTAGAAATGAACCATCTGTCCATGACCTTACAATGGAGATTGAAAATTCAACAGCCAAGTCGCCTTTGATACGGTACAAACTCAAGGCCTATTGTCGTGATGCATTCTCAGAGTTCTTTGGTACTATGATTCTGATTCTCTTCGGTGACGGCGTCGTTGCGCAAGTCCTCCTCAGCCATGGCCAGAAAGGAGACCATCAATCAATATCTTGGGGATGGGGGTATGCTTGTATAACAAACTTTCTTCAATATTGTCCTTGCCTAACAATGAGCCCCCAGTCTAGGTGTCATGCTCGGTGTATACGTCAGCGGAGCCTCAGGGGCCCATATCAACCCAGCCGTCACGTTCGCCAACTGCGTCTTTCGTAAATTTCCCTGGCGCAAATTTCCTGTTTATGCTATAGCTCAAATACTCGGCGCAATGTGTGGGGCAGCAATTGTTTACGGCAACTATAAATCGGCCATCGACGTCTTCGAGGGTGGGTCCAATATCCGTACCGTACCAGGGTACTCGGACACAGCGACAGCCGGGATATTCTGCACATACCCTGCCGACTTCATGACTAAAACTGGGCAATTTTTCTCCGAGTTTATTGCCAGCGCTATTTTGATGTTCATGATCTTTGCACTCAAAGATGACGGGAACATGGGCGCGGGACCACTAACGCCCCTCGCACTCTTCTTCGTCATTTTCGGAATTGGTGCCTGTTTTGGCTGGGAAACTGGATACGCTATCAACCTTGCCCGAGACTTTGGGCCTAGACTTACCTCTTACATGCTGGGCTATGGGCATGAAGTATGGGCGGCTGGTAATTATTACTTCTGGGTACGTTATCATTACTATCACCCTCGCCCAGGATGCTTCCCTTCTTGTACTGGTCAGTGTAATAATTCTTTATGAATAGGTTCCCATGATTGCTCCCTTTTTGGGATGTACGTTTGGCGGCTGGATTTATGATGTTTTCTTATATACCGGACTAGATAGTCCGGTCAACACTCCGTGGATGGGTTTCAATCGGATATTTGGATTTACGAAACAAACAAGAGTGACACTCTCGAGCCCTGTCTGACAGAAGAAAAAGAAACTAGTCTGAAAAGGTCTGTTTGAATATTTCGACGTCAAGGCTGGTTACGTGGAGGAGCGAACACCAAAGCGCAAGGAAGGAGAACTCAGATCATGTCATAGCAATGATTGTGCGCACATCATCGTTCCCAGAATGATCCAAAAATAAATAATAAAATGAAACAAACCACTCAACAAGGTTACCACAATGACATCTGAGTCGAGCCACAAAGATTTGGGCCAGGACCGCACCTGCATCCACCATGATGACGAAATGGGAGCCGTCGCCGAGCCAAGACCGGATAATTCCAGGAGGGGAATTTACGTTCGATTCAATAATCAGAATAATATGAACAGAGTTTAGTGCATTTCTCGTGCTCGCATGTATTGCATGTCACGCTGACTTTCTATTCGGGCCACATGTCTCGAGAACAGGTACGCCGCTGCAGATGGGTTTTTGAGCACATGACAGCAAGGATTTTGTTTTGAGTAACAAAAGCGTCTACAGAAAGATTCAAAACTAAAGACAGTACGCTGTGGATAAGTGGATCCAAATTGGGTGATGTAAAGAGAATCGGATGCATCTGCATCCAATTTTGGGATTCGTAATCATCTATGAATGTAAGGATATAACATCAAAACAAAAAGGGTTCTAAAAGCCATAAGCGCCAATATGCAGTGGCCATGCCAGGCCGAATGTCGGTAAAGTGTCATCAACGCCGTATGTTTCGCATCGAATCGTGATAATAATACAGATGAAAACAATCATCATAAAAGAATTTTAGAGCATCATGAAGATGCCACCGAAGATTATACCACCCAAGATTGCCGACAGGACAGTAAGACTCGCCGGGGACTGGTGCCGACTGGTGGCAGCATTGACCGAAGGGGCGTCGTGAGAGGAGTTTGCCGTTGCGGTAGCCTCGCCATCAGTGTCATCCTCGGTATCTGTAGGTCGTGTCCAGTGCTTTTTGGTTGTCGTGGTCTTGTGCCGCGTCACACTCATCGATGAGCTCTTAAGCCCAGAAGGGGAAAAGGCAGCCGACGATGAAGCCAATGAAGCTGACGTAGATAGGAAAGTAGACTGCGAGAGAGAAGATCCGGTCTTAGCGATCGAGGCCAGGGAAGAATTTGTGGGTGCGGGGGAGTGCTCACTCATTGATCCCCCGCTGGGCGGCTGGATTCGGTTGGAACGGGATTCCCATTTGCTGGAATGGTCGGCGGAAGTTGAAGATGGCGCATCTGTTGCAACCCAGGGCCAAACGTTGGGGGTAACCCAGCTGGAGGTTTCCTTGTGAGTTCCGCTCCAGGGGACGGGAATGCTGTCGACCGTAGCCGTGATTGCAGGGGCAGACTCGGTCGCCGTGGGCTCATCGGCGCTATTGCCGTTCACCTTACCGCCGTCTGCAGTGATGGAGGACCAACTGCCAGTCATATCGCCGTAGCTATACGAATTTCCAGTGGAATAGTCGGTCACAGTCATGGACTTCATGTACATGCTGTACGGCCCGTTGGTATAGTCGGTCACGCCGCCAGCCCAATCTACAATCCAGGTTAGCTGCAAGATTGCATTGTGTTTTATCAAAAGGATTCACGAACCGATAGTTCCCTGGGCATTGTTGGGGTCGCCACCGGCCCAAACTCCGACCTTTACCATCATCGGTGTCTGAGGGTACTGGTTGTCGTCCGCAGTGCTAGGAGTCAGAACGCGCACGGTCTTGCCGTCGATGGCCCAAATAATTTGAGTGCTCGACCAGTCAATTGAGTAAGTATGGAAGTCGTCATGGTTGTCGGAGTTGTCGTGGTAAGCGCCGCGATTGTAGCTGCTAGTATCACCCTTGCCGAAATAGTTGCTTTGCACTTGAGCATTGTTGCCACCAAGCCACTCCCAGTCGATTTCGTCCAAGTCATCGGATTGCAAAACAGCACTGCTGACGATTCCAGTTCCGGGTGCGGCCTTGATTGTATATTCGACATGTCCAAACATGATGTACCAGTTGGACTGGATCAGTGGCCCATCACCTTCCTTGGCAACGGTGAAAGTCGCTCCATTGGTGCCATCGTAGGTGACACTGCCGGAGGCAGTGAATTCCGAAGAAGATCCGGAAGTGAAGTCGAACTTCTGATCCGCCTTTCCGAGTGCGGGGTCCGCAGGGCAAGCTGTCTGTTGTTAGCGAATGGGTCAATCATGGCGAAAAGTTGAGACTGCCAACTTACATTTCTGGAGGGGATTGCAGTTGGTGTAAGTCTGAGCCGCAACCAAAGTGGAGGAAGAAGAGAAGCGTAAGAGCCGCACCAATATGGAGCTTCATGGTGGGCAATATTGTATGACGAGTTGGTACCGATACCACGTAGATGAAGATGTGAACAATGTAATGGGAAGAGTGAAAAAAAAAATGCGGATGAAGTGGAAGAAGAGGAAAAGAGACGAGAGGGAGGAGAAGAGGAAAAGGAGAGAAGAAAGGGAAAAATAGGAAGAGAAGATCGAGTCAACACGGCAACAAGGCAGCTGCGATCTCGTCTCTTTCTCTTGGAAGGTGCGATCCAGCCTCCTCCATTTCTATTTCCATTTCGCAGCTTCCTGATTTGCAGATCCGTGGATCCATCGGATTCTCATTGGTTAATCCACCGTAAAGAGCGGAGACTGCGCCACGTTGTGTGGGGTCGATGTATAAAAATTAAAGACTTGCCATGGTAGAAGAAGATAATAGAACAAAACCTTATACAAAGAGTCGACTTCGATCAGACTACTCTACGTTTGGGCCCGATCTCGATCATGCATTCATACATGAAGATCAGTTCTTCCGACAATGAAACCGGGTTGGCACACAAGAATATAGAAATCGGTGGCAGGGTACACGTCAGGCAGAAGTGGGTCCTCCCCAGCCTCTCGATTTCTTCACCGTCATCGCCATCCTCCCCAGCCAAGATTGACAGATCAGATTCTTTAATTAACGAAACCGTTTCTGATTATGTGGTATTGTTATTTTTTTTGTGTCAGCTAGACCATCATTCAGGGGCCATATTGAGGCATTCTGATACGTCATTCTCAAGCGCCTCGTAAATCGGGAACAGTATTGTCATTCATCGCGACCCAATCAGTATCTTGCTTCCTGGAAGAAACATGTGCTGTTGTTTTATCTGGTCAAGTTTGAGATGCGTGGTCAGGTATCAGCTTGGTTGGTCTAGATTTGACCCAGGTGCAAGTGCAGATCAGCACAAAGGCATTGGAGATCAGTGGCGCTACTCCGTATAGAACGCGATTTCTTGCGGTGTACTCCGTAAACTGCAGACGATCACAATCTTGTCAAAGAAGGATTTTTAAAAGAAAGCAAGAAGGTCTCTGCGATATACTACGTGCTGTCACCTACGGATGTCAACAATCCCGACCTATCTACGGTGACTGTGACCTGCTCTGAATTACGGACGCGAAGCCGACTTTCCTTTTGAGCGCTTAGGAAAAACAAAATTCGCATTATTGAATATGGAACGAGTGTCAAACAAAACGCGAAACCAGCACTATTACAATTAGTATGTTCGCATCCTAGTACTAAAAAACCTCTCGACTGGAGATCGTCACATCGGACACTTTCGTCACAAAGGTTTTGGACTCGATGGTGTGCGACTGGGAAAACCCCTGCTGAAGATTACAATCAAAGCTTGTGTCATGATAGTTGGCTCCAGAGTCGTGGATTGGAGTAACCGTGGTCTTCCCCCAGGGCTTAGTCTCAATCATCGGCTTAAGCCCCCCGTCGGTGAAGCTCTCGCCCAATTGCTGCTCAATTGGCTCCTTCTCCGCACGAGGTCCAGGAGGTCGACGAACGGTCCGTACACCTGTTTTCAGCTGATCATCTAGCTCATCAACATACTCAAATGCTTCATTCCCCGCTATGGCAAGCCGCTCATAGGAATCGAGGCCACCCAATTTCCACTCAGGAAGGGGTCGCTTGGAGGAACCGATGTCATATTCGAAGAATGAATTCCCTTGAGCGTCGACTATTTTTCGACGAGAATATCTCATATTCGGAACTGAGTCGATTGGTTTGTAGATGGGGTGATTGCTGTTCTTCCGGTTCATCTTTTCGAATTGTTCGACTCGGAAGTTGACAACCGGGTGAATGAACTCGAATGTGTCTCCCAAAGGCTTCCCATCCGCTGCGATATCATATGCGCCCGGCGTACGCTTCTTGCTGCCATTTGCCCAGTACATGGGAGTGAAGCTGTCTTCCATATCCCCCAATCCCCAGCCGTAAACACGAGGTTCCTTGAAGGAAGGTTCGTTGGCTGGAGTGAGAGGGTGCGCGATAGCAGAAACTGTTGACTTGGCCTGGCGCCATGCCCAATTTCCCCAGGACTCTGTCTTTTGTTTCGTTATTCTGGCGTTGTAATTTTCCAATACTTGGTTCAATTGGACGAATTTAAGCTCTCGATCGTTCTGCTCATTGATGATGAAGCTCTCATCCACGGAAAGAAATTCGTCAATCTGGTCCAACATCCAAGAGAAGACGATATTGGACATTTCTTCCATGTCCCCTTTGTTGTTCAGAGTTCCACTGGAGCCCCCACCAACATTGATGTGGTATCCAGGGAACCAAACCTGCTTAAGGGTCGGGTGTAGCTCAAGTCGGTTTTGGAACTTCACTCGCCTGCGAGAGGCCTTATTCCAGGCCCTGGCTGCTTCATTAACTTCGTGCGCAGCGTCGTTCACATCCTTATCAGTGGCCTTTCCACAGGCCTTGAGGTCTTTGGCTTGTTTCAAAAGTCTCCAGTACTTCTTTTCCGCTTGGTTTTCCTCTTCTTTTCTGGCTTCAACTTCCTCCGGCGTGGCAGTCTTGTTAGATAAATACCAAATTGCTGGAGAAAAGGCATTGCGATGTTCATCCAGTGCCAATGCCTGGAAAGCATTCTTGATATCTGAATCATAAAATTAGCGCGTTGTCCAATACAAAGAACAGGGGGATCATACTAGGTGAAAGTCCAACATTATGCCAGCCATCATTCGTGGGAAGTTTAATACCCAGGACTTCTGGCATCCCCAGTGATCCAACAGTGTCGTACACGCCGACTACCTCTACCTCCCTGGAACCATCCTGGGCCCAATCACCTTGCGGGGGCTTTTGGTAAACAAACTCTCCTTTCGCCCCTTGGTGTTCGTCCGCCTTCCCCCACCTCCAATCAAACCACTCCTCACTGCGATGGAACCGCTTTCCAGGCTTGATGTTTTTGTAAACAGCCCAAAGGTCGGGAAACTTATTCAAGTCACGCTTGTGGCAAATTCCAATATCTGAAATCAAGCCAGCGATTGTCCGGGCGGTATAAGCACCGCGGGAGAAGCCGAAACACATGATTTTATCGCCAGGGTTATAATTCAGGACACAGAAGTTATATGCCTCGATGACATTTCCTTCCAGACCTTTACCGATAGCACCTTCGATGGCGTCTCCCAGGGGAAGTGCAGTAGTGCCAACTCCCGAGTCATACCACACAATCTGTTGCCATTTGTCGCCATTATCGTCAGTACCAATGCTATTTAGCGAGCGACAAAGTCTGGTGACATTTGAAGGGACGTTTCTCTTCCCAGAGACCGCCGATTGCCATGTACCATCACAGCAGATGATGATACGCTTCCGGATAGGAGGGAGCTGGGTATCTTTTCTTTGACGCAGAATGTAGTCCTCCCCGAGGAGCTCACAGGAAGTTGAATTCATTTGAGATATGATAAATAGATAATGAAGACCTGCAAAAAAGGAACACGGTGTGGAAGTGCTATAGAGCAAAAGGGGCGTCCTGAGGTAAACGTTCCTCTATTTATACCAATGCAGTCATACGAGGACTTCAGACTTCGCCATCATGCAAGTCATCGTTTCTCTTTGAATCATTATTTCCGAATACCGTGTGCATGAAGCGATTCAGGCCCAGCCCCCAAACTCGGGCAAATTCTAGCGCTGCGATAGGCTATCCAGCAGGGCTGATTCGATCTCAGGGGGCTCAGCTACCCCGCAATTATACTTTTTTCTTCAGCTGCTGAGACGAGCGGTCTGGCCTCATAGCGTCAGCTTGGCCTGAGATGCTCACTGGTCAAAAATGGCTTAAGTGTCTGTGCTCTACGAACATCTGTGCTCCACGAACACGAACACCTTCGCGTTATGTACGCGATGCTGCAGAAATAGCCGATCGCGTGAAAAGACATTCAACCCTTTCAGAGATCCAATCGCGTACTGGATAGATTCTACATCATCAGGACAATGATGGCATCGGCTACGCCGTCCTTCCATGAGATGGCAAGAACGAGAAATCTCCTATCTTCGGCGAGCCTAGGACATCTTTCCATTTTTGCCACTTGAACGATTCATCGCTAAGATACAACTCCGAATGTTGCGAGTTTCTTGATTATTGAATTGTGCAAAATTATTATTTTCGCTCGGAAATGACTTGATCAAAGGTCTGTTGGACGGTGACCCCCTTTGGATTGATGATCGGACTCGGGTCAGGGTAAAGGGCTTCCTGACTGCTGTTGTCGTCGTCAAAGGCGTTTGACCTTGGTGATGACACGGTATTCACAATCCCTTTACCAGGGTCAATATCTGGTCTCCAATAGCTGGGGTTGCTGATTGAATTCAGTTCATGGCTGTGCGATTTCGAGGGAGGATATTTTCGAGAGCTTGTCCGGCCACTGCGGGCATTTCGTCCATAGGATATGCTGCCGTCTAGGAACCAGCGGAAGAGTGGTCGTAAAGTCATCAAGCTTCCAGCAGTAATCCCAAGTCCTGTTTCAATCACTGACCAAACAGCGATTTGATAAGTGGAGTCTGTTGAGAAACCTTGATTAGCAATTTTCGGTCATCGCCGCGTCTGTTTAGGTGACTTACAGAGGAATTCCTTATCGGCATAGTGATGCAGGAAGGGAATCCTAATGATAACAGCAACACTGGCACTGAATGGATGGGTTAGTAAGGGCCCATTCGATGTTTTTGACGAAGGTCACTCACACAGCTCCCAAGCTTAAAATACCCCCAACAGCAATCTTCGTTCTGTGATTCATCTGCAGGTCCCAAACCAAAAAGACCGGCAGTATACCAAGGGTCAGATCGCACACTATCGTGAGAGAGCTGTAAAAGTATGCAATGGCGAGTAGAGTGTTGATCGATGTACAAGTCCCAGAATGTTCCATATCTACCTGATTCCAGAAATAGGAAACCGGTTTGCAGTCGAAAAGTAGCACGAGCCAAAACATAAGAGCAATGGCAACGACAATGGATATTATTACCCAGACGATGATCCGGTGAGACCTCTTGACCGCCAGGCGAAGCAGAGCAACGCCTATGGACACCTTAGCTACTGCTGATGCAAAAATATAAAACTGTTGGTTTAGCCACCAAATCTGTTATAGATTCCAAGGTTAGAACTATCATGCATCATGATACTTGTAAAGATTAGCTTTCCAGGGAAAGGGCAAACCTACCAACAGCGCCCTCTTCAATGCCTCAAAGCTCGGAAAATCCGCAACGTTATGACCAATGCCATAATCTGATCCGATCATACAGGATATGGTCAACGTGACAAATAGAGCCTGTGGACTTGTTAGTTGGCTACACAAACACGACCAAATCAGAGCCAATTACCAATGCAATCACCATGAGGGTATCATCCCATCCGAATGCCCGAACCACGTAAGACCGAACAAAGCACCTCATGGCGACCGCTACGACAGAAACCCCCAACATCACAGCGGAAGAGGCGAATATCGCCATGCTATGGCCCACCAGGGGCAGTTCTTTGGTCATCTTGTCCGTGTCCTGGGTCGCGATGGACAGAGTGGTGCATTCAAGGTCGTCAGTCGCTAGTCCTTGAGAACGTAGGATACCCTATATGCTCGAAGCAATGCATACTCAGGGTGAGGAGTTTGAGAAAGCGAGATTTCTAGCCTTGCCAGGACATCGTGACGATCAATTAAGATTTCCCGCTGAACGGCAAGGGCCGTTGCCGAGGTCGCAGACAATGAGCCGCCTGAATCAGTGAGTGGGGTTCAGGAGGCCCGTTTCATTTGAAACGAGATCGATCAAGTTGGCGAGGGTGATGACTGGAGGGATTTATGGAAAGCTCCACACACTACAGATTCCACTATCCCGGGAAAGGCATGGATTCGCAGCGGCTAAGAGCATCGGAGAGATTTTTCACCAGTCAGAGAAATGTGGTTCGCCAGCTTACCGAGCTTCTGGAACTTTACTTGAGCTAGAGCTGCTAGTTACTCCGTACGTTCTCCGTAGACGCAGGAGAATTGCGGAGCCCTTCAAGTGGGGGGGGGGGGGGGTGATTTCTGCCGAGAAGGGACGGCGTCACGATGCACCTGCGGCTGGACGAAATCCAGAGCCGCCACCAAATTGTGGCGCCCGCATGATTGAAACTGCCGGTCTCAATGTGGTTGTTTTATGTGTCCACCCTGTCTTGCTCGGCAGTTAGCGTTCTTGCACTGCTTCCGATCGAGAATCTTACTATTACCCCATGCGACACTATACGGAATACGGAGTACAAGGGTCTCGATACTCCGCTTCGACAGAACTGACATGACTCCGCTAAACTGGCTGAGGGGCCAGAAAATTTTACTAGTACACATTCGTGGATTTTGGCTTCGAATCAGAATAGGGTCTACCCAATGCGGAAATTTCTAAATATGTCTAAGGACCCGCGCAATGTAGGTACAAACCAACTTGAAGTCGCCTGAGCAGTCATCACTAGAAAAGCAGGTTTCCCCTAGCTATGTAGAGTATAAGTCCCTGAAGAAGGACTTTCGACGCGACTGATGCCCTGCACTGAGCGATCCAGGAGGAAGAGCTATTACTTTCCCCCGATGCACATTTCCCGTTCGTACAGACTAGATCCCCTGAACAGTCATCAGCGGAAGAGCAAGAATTGCCTAGGGATTTGGTCAGCAATGTTGAAAAACACCCATCGAAAAGAACAGTTTTTACCCGCGCAGTGGCCAGACCAAGAACACGAGCCAGTGGGCCCGGGTCCCGCTGAGGTCGTCGTAGAGGTGCTGTTGGAACCACCCGAGCCTAGATCCAAATTCCTAACAAGCGCGGTCACGAGATTGTCTCCCATGCAGCGTAAGGTGCTAAAGTTAGTCATGTAGTTCTTATTGAGAGAGCTACTGGGGAAAACAGCATCATTTCCAGTGAAGATAATATCTTTGGAGCATTAGCATCTCTTTCCAAAAAGGCTGTTAGTTCAACTCACAGGTAACATCAGCATTCCCATGACCACTGTTCCCATTGAGGTTATCACCAGGGAAGCAAGTTCGCGCCATTAGCCATGACGCTTCCCCGATGACTTCCGGGTCATCAGAATTGGAATCCCCATAGATGCCATAAAACATCTTGTTATCACTATCGAATACTTAGAATCGTCCTTCTAGAGCACGAGGACTTCACTACAGACCATATCACGGCAGCTACATTATTGCCGGAGAGATCACTTTTGTAAGTAGTCCCGAATGTATCAGGAATCACGATAAATGGAACTTCGTAAGCCGCAAGGGCGCCAAAGTTAGTCTCGGACTGCCCATCTGGGTTTCCCTATGTCATTTAATCAGCACAAGAGTCATCACGCGACATTAGGAAGGTGGCTTAAAGAAAGAAATTTTTACCTTGCACTTGTAGTCGATACCATCGCAATCCACATCCATATCGGCGACCCACACAAAAGCCGCACCCTGCGATCAAAAGCACTGATCAGCGGCATGGAATTTGCAAATCACGCGTTACTTACTTCACTGAAGCTTGTCCAGTCCTTATGAATGGTGACGCGCTTAGCGCCACTGTTCGCATTGATGGGATAAGTGGCATCTTTTGCTGCTATGTTGGCCTTCGCAGCCGCACTTTGTAGTGCAGCGACAGGGACAGTAGTAGCGGCGGCGAAATAGCTACTAGGTAGTCCGGTAGTTGGATCGTTATGTTTCGAGCCGTCCACACTTTGTGAGAAAACCGGATTGATCAATCCTAGACAAGCTAGTAGAACCCAAATATTGAGAGCCATCGATAACCACCGGTATGATTAGGGTATTGATGTAGGAAAAGATGTTTAAATATCCAGTTATTTGGCTGATGTCTTGCTGGCCCCTTTATCGTGTTTTCTCTCGGAAGTTATTGTTCTTACAGAGTGTTTACCCCTTTCGTTTCACGCAATGGTCAGACCGCGGCGATACCACGAGACCGAACCTTAGTCGAAATATTTGCTGGTGGCAATCTTGACTAGATAATATCGAGAGAAGAGTGAGCCAGAGTATCCCGAGAGAGAAACATGCGTGACAGGAGCAAACTTTAGTTATTCCTTCTTTGAAAGAAGTAAGCCGAGTGGGGCCAAGTTTCAGCTGCCCAGTCGGGGCCAAATTTGGGATGACGAGCCAAGGTTATTACTTGAAATTTAGGACAGATAGAACCAAAAAAAATATCATGAACACATTCCATTTAAATAGCAGGAGATATCAAGAAACTTGAATTCCGAAATTGAAAACTACCGACAGCTACTAGTATCTACTAGTAGGTATATCTCGATAGGAAAGCAAGGGCAACTTGGAACATTTGGTACATCGTGCAGAAGACCCTGTTTCAGCCCAATCACTAATTTGAACCACAACTTGACAAACTTAATAAGTACATAATATCACTATTCATATATGTACATTGGTATTATTCGATGCTCCTGAACAAAAAGTGGATGGAATCGAAAAGCGCCCAGGAGTCAAGTACTCTATCATGCTAGTCCCAAGCCCAGGCAGGAAAAGCCTTAGAGTTATGACGAATCTCATTATTCAATATATAAAGACTGTCTATAAGAAATTCCAATAATTTACGTTTCTCATAACAGTCTTCGCTACTCTACCCCGGGTGGCATTGAATGGTTCGTCTACTTCTCTAAAAACGCGCTATTCCCGAAATGGAATGCCAGGTATCGATGACTAACTACCTCACGTGATATTTGTGGTTCTGCCAACGCCTGACCTCGAATTTCCATCGCATCAAACAACCGACCAATTCTCCAGGGACGTCGAGCAAAATGGCCAAGAAAGGTGCGTCAACATATGAACATGTTTTTTTTCGATACCCCGCGACTTTCCATTCCCTGTCATCACTCCGAATCCCGTTGCGGCGGCGATGATGCACTTTCCATCCACCCCGGCACCGACGAGACAGCTTTCCACAATGAACGGACGCTAACATACTTTCTCAATGCAGCGAAGTCTCGCACCATTGCCGTCCGGCTCATCTCCATGGCCATGACCGGCTATTATCGCACAATGATCCGCCCCCGTCTTCACCGCCCCCTCTCCATGCTCAAGTACGACCCCGTCGTGAAGAAGAAGGTCCTTTTCCTCGAAGCGACCAAGGGGGGCAAGGCGAAATAAACGCCAGAAAAGCCTGCTTTCAACCGATTTCCCGCCCCGATTCCGATTCGCCTCTTTCCTATATCGAATTTGTCGTCATTCACACCTGCGCGTTGTTTCGATACTCGGCTTCCTCCGATTCGATGGTGAAGCGCGCATGTGTCAATACATCAGCTCACCGCTACTCAATTCTCTCGCACGAGCCTCTAATACTCTAAAAACTCGACAAACGATGGGCCATTGCCATCGATGCGGATTAGCGGTTACGGGAAGGTGACAATCGGGCTGTGTAACCTCTTTGTGTACATTATATTCTGAGAAGAGTTGGCAGAAGGACCGCGAAGGGCCTTCGTTTCTCCGTCGGTCCCTTCTGTTCTACGGCGAACTCCTTTCTTGATGGAGCATTATGTTTGGCGTTTACGAGCGTAATAGCTCTGGGTTTCAACTGAAGATAAAAATCAATTCCCTTCTACACATATTTTCTCCTCCATTGCTTTGTCCAGACTCTGGACCTGCAAAAGACTGCTCCATATCATGGAGAGTGTAACCATGGATATATCATAAAAAGGAGAAACAGATCGACAAGCTGAATATCACGCTGGGGTAACTATATGGAAGGCTAATATATGCATCCAACCAAACACAACCTTGGAATGCGAGAAGTCAAACAACTCCTTGCTGTTGAAAAGAGAATATTTTCATTACGGAATTCGGCGATATGCTTCGAACCACAAATCGCCATATGCGTGGTGATTCCGACGAGATCATTCTTGGCTGAAACGGGCGCTGTAGCGCTCTCCTGCTAACAATTGTCAGCCAAAGATCTCAGTGAATGAAAATTATTTTCAGTTTGGGGTTACCTCTTGATCGACGCTTGCCTCGACCACGACTGGCAGTACGTTTGGACGCATTGTTGCCACTGCTGGCTGAAACTAGCCCCTTCGGACTCGTTCGCCGCTCCGCCGTGGGCATATGCGAGGACCCAGCGGGCTGCTCAGGCTGGATTTCGGTGCCTGAGCTCCGAACACGGCTATATGTCCATTTGTGAACATGTTTTGTCATCTTGCTCGGACGCTCTGATATATCCTGCTGCGCCTGCGTCAAGGTGGGGCTAGCACTAGAAGTTCTCGCGGCCAATTTACTCGAGGCTTGTGGCTTGAAGTTCACTGCCTTTCGGTTGGGTTGTTCTGGAGATCGGTGAACCTTTGGGGACGAGGTAGGTACACTCACCATCTCATGAACTGGGGCCGTTTCGGTCTGAATGTTTTCTGGCTCCTTCTGGGGGTTGATAGCGGGTTTCTTCGCGTTGTCTACACTGAATGGCGACGAGGGACACACATCATCCGACATGAACAGCATCGCAAAGTCGCCTGGATCATAGTAGGGCGAAGGAGCACGTTGTGCCGAAAGCTGTTCCTGGATCTCTGAGAAGGTTACAATGCCACTCCTTGGAACTTGCTTCAGGGGTTCATTTGCTGTATTCGAAGCCATGTTTTGTTCCAGTTCATGAACCCGTTCATGCGCCTGTCTGAGCCGCTCTTGTAGGTCATTCCGTTCCAAGCAAGACGCTGCGTCAGACTCTTGAAACCGTTGTATCTCTGTTGTTTGAATGTTCATTCGTGTCGTGATCTCGGAGTTTGTTTCAGTCAGATGCTTAACTTGTTGCTCGGATTCGCGGAGCTGTAGCAATATTAGTACTGAGACATGCTGCAGGAGTTGTGTCCCTTACCAGTGCCACACGTTCCTCCTTTTGCTCATCGATCATATTCTGTGCGTTGATCTTACTTTGTCAGCAACGCATTAATGATTTTATTTCTCAACTCACCAAAGAGTCCTGAACTCCCTGCAGTTGACCGAGGACCATCCCAACCTCGCCCTTGAGCTTTTCCTTCTCCTTCTCAATGATACCAGTTTGTAGGTCGTGATGAAGCTGCATCTCATTTCTAGAGGTCACCTTTCCTTCTTCTATCATGTTCCGAGCATCTTCCTTGACAGATCTCATTTGGTCGTGCAAGCAAGTATTCTCCGCTTCCAGTTGTATCCCGCGAAGTTCCAAAGATTGGTACTTTCTATCCGACTCTGCCATCGATTTTTGCAGTTTCTGATTCTCAGTTTCTCGCTCGTGCAAACTCTGGCGAAGACTTTCAGCCTCAAAAGAGATGGTTTGAAGACGAAGTTGGAGCTGGGTATTCTCGGAGAATGTTTTCGACACTTCCAGCTCAAGTATCGGATTGTTAGGTGGGGGTTGAGGCTCGCACAATCTGTGACTCAGGTCCTTTAACTCATGCACGAGATTATTTCCGCTTGCTGTCAAAGATTTCACCGAGGCATCAAGATCATTCACAACAGGTGAAAAGCTTTCCAGTGTATTGTCTAGAGATCCGTGAGCAGTGGTGCAGCGATCAAGTTGTTTAGAAAGGGTCGAATCCCGGCCACAACTGCTTTCAATCATCTTTGTGTTCGCCTCAATGCTTTGCAAAGCTTGGAGGTTCATTCTGGCGGTTGATTCAGCATCTGCCATCAAACGTGCTGCCACTACATCGATTCTGTGCTCATTGTTAGCACTACAACCGAAATCAATTCTTACTTCGAGGGTATATAAGCTCACCGGGCAGCAACATCGTGGATGGTGTTTGTAGAGTCTTGAACGTCTCTTGTTTCAGCAGAGCATCGTTCTCCCAGTTCTCGAACCGAATCCCGGCATTCCTCGAAAGTAGTCCTGATTTCGGACAAAACCACATCTCGAGTGTTGGTTGAAGATTCGGAAATGTCCTCCAGTCTTGACATTAGCTTCTCCAGCAACTTCGCGTGATCTTCTCTGAGAAGATTGACCTGTCTGATCTGACTACGAGAGTAGTTTTGGATATATGACTCCAGGGTATTGGTTCGCTTCTTCTCATTGGCCAGGCTGGAAATAGATTCCTCGAGCTGATCTCTCGAGGCAAGGAGGGCTTGTTCCAGCCCCGCCACCTGCTTCTCATATTGGACAATTCCCATCCGTTGATCATCTATTGTGCCTTCTGCTCGCACAATTTCAAGTTTGATCACATCAATAGAGCTGGTCAAAGCGTGCCGTTCATCTTGGAGAGACAACGTAGTCGCCTTCAATCTATCCGAGTCGAGTCGCAGCGCTTCGAAGTCGTGGCCGAGTTCATTGATAATTTCTTTGAACCTGGCGATCTTTTTCTTCCAGCTGGTCATCCGACACTCTTGGGATTTGATTTCGGCTTCCATACTCAGAAGCCTCTCCTCGTATATCTTTCCCTGGCCCCGAAGGCTCTGATTCTCCCTTTTCAGCTGTGCATTGTCTGTCTCCAGCTGTTGTTGCATGTCCGCAGTGGCCGCTTCCTTCTCTTCGCGGATTCTCATCTTTGCAATGAGGAGCTCAAAAAGCCTTTCTTCGTTCATCTGAGGAGCTTTACTCTCACGCCGACTTTTGATAACCCTGGATCCATCACTCGAACGGATCGTAGCCCGAGCGGGGTTGACTTTCCGAGTCAAGGGGTCGTGAATTTTGTCTCGTCTAGAATCGGCAGTATTCTCTGCCATATCCGTGAGATCTTTATGAGCAGATCTGGGGCCAGATCGTGGCTGCTTTCGTAGATGCGGGGGTAGTTGATTATCGGTGCTGCTGGCCTGCAATTCGGATGAAACTGCTTCGGGACGAGAGTTGGATGGACTGTGGCTAGAACAAATGGCGTATGAGCAAATAAAAGAGTATTCTGAGAAATGAAGATTGAGTCATACCGGTCTTCAGCCAAGGGTTTCAAAATTTCAAATCCCATCGTCTTCGGGATTGCGAGATTGGTGACTCCAAGCGGAGGAGGGTTGATGCGTCCTGGTTTTGGCATGCCACGTAACGAGAATCCTTGGTTACGTGAAGCTGGTTTCATGAATGAGAATTCGGCTAGGTCAACTCCAAAACTTGGCGGACGTTGCATGAGCAATGGCGCCCGTTTCTCAGCGTCGTCCGTCATATGAACTCCCTCTGGTGGTGGACATTCTAGTGAAGGGGAATTCAACCCTGCTTGGGCCTTTATTTCGTCATCCATTCTTTTTTCCTCTTTCACGTGGAGCTTATTATCGGAAGATTTATTAGGAGTCAAGGTGTGAGACGTGATAAGTTTGTGAGATCTCGAGGCTCTCAGAGTCATCCGAATGGCAGGCGCTAACCACACGGCACATGACAACCGACATCTTCTAGTATGTGAGATATCGTAGTCACTATAGTTACAATGGTACATAATTGATACCCTCCCTTATAACAAAGCCGCGGGTAATTTGATTCTATACCCGTATGGGCAATATTATTGCCAGGTGGTTCACGATAACGAAATTCCAATTAAGCCAGCCGAAGGATGCTCCGCAATCATGTGGAACTAACCCTTGGGAACAATTATCTTCACCACCTTCACTAACATCGGCGGCGACGATGGCTGCCACGACCTATAGCTGTACCTGCGCCTGTACCTGCACCACCACGGCCACGAGCAATAGGACGACCACCAAGATTTGCACCAGGTAGAGGATTTGGTTCAAGAGTTAAAAGAGGACCTCGATCTTGCTCCCATCTATGTGTGATTGGCCCAGTTGTGTCAGGGACGTCTTTGAGATCTGACTTGTTTGCAGTGAGATACAGTTCTCTGTTTCCATTGGGAGAAGTAGCACTGAAAAGCACATCTCTCACCACCCTGGCACTTAGTCTTGAGTTCGAGTCACCACTCTCCGCTTGCACAGTGACGATCAAGTTGATAAAAAGCATCAAGCAACCAACTTGAAATTGAGTGTTAGGGTTGATTAAGGCTATAGTCAGCTCGACTACTCGCCACCATACTAGACCACTAACTGTTGCGCACTTGGTCCATCCAAGCGTCGGGGTATCACAATGCGGATCTGTTTGACGCAGTTGATCTAAATCACTTTGATATATCAAGATTGTATCGGCTCCAGTATCGACTCTTGCTGTTCACTACGCAGTGATGAGGTCCTTCCGCATGGGGACCAAATTTATTCTTTGGGTTGACTGTGGGGATATCGTGTCACTGAAGAGAAGCTTCACTAATATAGCCGAGAAACTCCAGCTCCTCGCCTACGATGCTCGAGATCATGATACGAATCGGGACCTGGTATTAGACTGGTTACAAGAAACTGGTGGGTAGTCTGAGTCATTTTCTAACGGCCTCCTCTAACGTGTACTCTAGTTTTCCATGGATTATCATTTACGACGATGTGACTAGTTTCGATCTAATTGAGCATTATTGGCCGGATGAGACTTGCGATGGGCGAGCTATCATCACAACAAGAAATGATGCGCTCGCCCGGGATGGCCCCTGCAAGAATTTGCCTTCGATGGGATATGATACATTCATAGATGTGACAACTGATATCCAGCCAATGGGTATTGATCAGACAATACGCGATCTGCTCAAAATCGAGGCTCATCTCCCCAATGGTTCAACCCCCAACTTGAACTATTCCAATACTGAAAGAGAATACATTTACCACCTCTGCAGAAAATTACAAGGCAACATGCAAGATATGATAATCATGGGAGCACTCCTCGGTCAAAAGCTATACACCGTTGGGGCCATGGGTAATTATTTTGAAAGGTCGGAGACTCAGCCTTATAACCAATCACCAGTCTAGCCCTTGGTATTCAAGTCTTTAAGCCCCAACTTCCAGAGTATGCTATCAATGCTATCGTTCTTAGAAGGTGAAATGGGTATCAACCTTAATCAACTCAAAGAGTGGCTACTTCCTGAGGATATAGCCTGGTGCAAAAATGATGCAGAGTAAGTCTCGAATCCCAATCTTCGTGCTCAAATATGGCTGACGGGTATACTACCTAGACTGTAAATATCACTCAAGGAGCTCAGTGATCTATCTCTTATTTCTTTGGTGAATGAACAAGCTGTTATTGGAATTTCACGCACCACGCAAACAAATTTCCTCATATGGATGGGCGAAGAAGGTGTTGCCGTTGGCTTAAAAATAGCCTCGAAGTTTCTTTATGGGATTCAGGAGAAGCAAATCCGTCGTAATATCGAGCAGCAGAGTACGAGAGACTACGAGGACCTTTCCTTTTGCCTACCACATGTGCGTACTCTGAAAGATAAATTCAGAACGGCACGACAATCGTATCCAACGATTAAGGGCTCCCGTGAGCTGTGCTATCTTTTAGTTGGATTTGTGCGGTAGGTTCCGGCTTCTTCATCATGCAGCTCGAAGGATATGGCCAATGCTGACCCTTTTTATCATAGATATATGCTACACGAAGGATTTCTTTCTGAGGTCTTGGACATGATAGAGGTTCACCATATGGCTTTTAACGCACTTCCCGCCGATCAAAAATCGACCTTGAATCCGACTAATACGTTATATCTAGAATGGAGAGTCCATATACATCGTGGCGAAAAGGAAGAGGCTCTAAAATTAGCAATAAAAATACACGAAATTTGCGATACGATGACGTCCCAAAACGTCCGGACGTTCCAGGGATCAAGCTACCTCATGGCCCTGTCGTATATCACGACGGTCAATTATTCGAAGGGTCTAGAATGGTTTTGGAAAACCAGTGAACCCTGGCGGGCCAATACTTCTGTTCCCCCGGGGACAAGCCATGATAATCTACCGCTGCCTCCAATGCTGAAGGCACAAGAAGGCTGGGCTTGGCTACTGTGCAATGATCTAGATTCAGCAAAACCACTCCTCGAGTCGGCACTTGAAGACATCCAACCACTGCTGGTAGAGAATCAATATGGCCTGGATTGAATTGTAAGGCTATCAGTTATGTCCGCCTCAAAATATACTCTAACATGTCTCATCAGTGTTAATTTTGATGTTGCCAAGCTCCGAATTCGCGAAAGGAATTTTGCAGATGCGAAAGAGAAATTGCTGACAGCACAGAGTTGTATAAGGAAATGTCCCTTGCAGGAATTCTCGCAGTTCCATGCTTCATATCTATATTTTCTTGCTTTGTGTGAGATGGAACTGAGAAACCTAACTCAGGCCAGGTAAGAATGTCAATCCAGGGTCTATTCCAAGCCCTGGAGATTTTCTATTACTAACTTGAATTTCTTAGAGAATATATTGATTCTACAGCTCGCATCACACGTATTTACCAAGATGAGATGCCCATGGAACACGCTCGTTGTCCTCATATGCTAGCTGAGATATCGAGCCGACAGCCACCAAGGGACGAATCTGTGACCCACGAAGCTAGGCTGGCAGCTAATCAGTTAATCCTCAAACATGCGCAGGAAGGTGGGGATCTCGATGTTAGACACATCGCGCTCGAAACCAGCTCTGCGCGAACACAATAGCTCCGAAGAGAATTCTGCCTTCGTAACGACTTGGGTCGAATAAGGCGAAAATTCGGGGAAGCCCGAGCGTCAGGCCAGGTACTAGCCTGTGTGGGCGTGAGGCCCCACCCATCAAAGCCGAGCTCGTATCGGCTCATCTCAAAAAGCTCGCATTGAACTATTTAGGCGAATATAGTCTCAGAGTGCACATGAAATGAATATTAAGATCAACGGTTACTAATCCTTCTACATATGTAGCCACTCCGTATTCCGTACAGACTTATGCGACATCATTAAGTATATCCACCTAGCCTCAATGTAGCTCCATGAAGGGAAGATCAGTGGGCCAGGGAGGGGACCAGGAAGATTGCGGTGGCAAGGATAGGACAGAAAGTACGGAGTAATTTTTTTTTACCTCTAAGGCCGATACATGTTCTAGGCGTGGATCGGCAATGAAAGCCTCCTGCTGACCCGGTCGGTCTTTTTGATCGGAAGTTGCGTTGACTCAAAGCGTCGTACCCAACCAGCGCTGACAGCCATCGGAAGCCCTGCCTCCTGACTCGGGTAGGGGATGAGAGAAAAAAAAAGTAAGCTGAATGAAAGGAGGGCCCGCCCAGGAGAGGGTGAAACTGTCCGGTTTGCAGCGCGGGCCACTTTTCTTTGTCAAAGAACAGATGAAACGCCCCTCTAACCAGGGTGATGCCGATAGTCGCCCGCCCCCCTACCCCCCGGTGGAGACCGGTGTGGACGGCCTCATAACTTTAATGGGCCTCTGCCAAGAACCGGTCTCCGTTAGGATGAGCAGCTGGGACATTGAGTGACACAGATTGAATGAATCAGCGGAGTGTCGCCCACTTCCGGAAGTAAGAAGGTAGATATGATAAATACGATGAATACGATGGATGTTATTGAATGGTTGCTTTAATCAATCTGCTCCGAAAGAAGATCTCGGAAGGATCGATCTGTGGGTGAGATAGATTGAGCAGATATGCCACCTTACTGGAGCGAATGTTCGATGGGTGTTCCATGACCGTTGCTGTACGACCAAGACATCGATGAACCTTGGGGGCGGTCAGCAACGTGGCGGCCACGAGAAACCAAGAGGCGTAAGCATAGAAAGTATAACCTCGCGTGGCAAGGCAGGTAGAGTGACCGATCACAGGATGCAGGTACCTGCAGCGAATGCTAGTTGGTTCAATTGGGAGTGTGATGAGTCGATAGAAGGAAGCTGTGTGGCATATTTTAGGCGCAGGAACTAGCCTGCGATCCTTCGATCCACCAATATGCCGCTATGGATTAAAGGCAATTCAAGGATGACCGGACAGGTCAGGTTCTGCAGTCAACTGTGTGGTCTGCATTAGTCCTTGAAGAGTGCAGGGAGCCTGCAGTGTGGGCCGAAGGGGAGTCCGCTGGAGGACAAAGGGGGGACAAAAATCCGATCTTTGGAGGGTAAGAGAAACGAGTTGTACGGAAGTACATCGTACTTCGGATGTAGAACACTGTTCCGTATCTGCATCTGCATCTGTATCTCTGAAAAGGGCTTTGCAGGGAGTAGGAAATTGTAGGAAGTTGCAGAAGTAGAGGCAACTAGCCTGGAATGCGTAGGGATCGACCCGCTCCCCTTTCCTTTTTCTCCTTTTCCTTGCAAAATCCGCGTGATTCGTCGTTCTGCCACTTTCTACTTGGGCCTTGACCGCTCTCCACTCCCCTTTTGCTTCATCCCTCCGCAAACTTACAGAAGAGAGAGAGACAGTGTCAGAGACAGAGACACTTGGTTGCTTGAATGCCAATTCGACCAGTTTCACTCTCATAGCATTTACTTTCATCACCTCCCGTTAGCCCCAACGGTTGGCGCTCAGGTCTCTCGTCGCTCTCGGACCTTGGTCCTTTTTCCTTGAATATACTTATTTCCACTGCTGCTCTCTCCAGATCTCCTTTTTTTGCACCTGGGAGGTACCCTTTTGCTGGCTGCATTTCGTCCATCGATTCCACTTCATCTTCTCGACCTTTGATTTGAGGTTCGACTCTTCCTCTGCCTTCTCGCCCCGTCGTATCGGCATCCGCCCAACGTCATTAAACCCCCTTCCGTCCCCCGCCCGCGCGCCCTGCGAACATATACAACTGCGGGACACCATCTTCTTCTATGGAAATCGTGATTTACGTCCAATAACCACCTTCCCTTTCCTCCATTCCATTCCGTTGTTCCTTGAACGGTCCCACCCGGCGCGAGCGATCCGTTTTCGAACCCTTGAACAAGTGTGATGTGGCCAGGAAGCTTTATCTTGCAATAATCCTCTTCAGTCCTTGTCCGAATCCCATCACCATGGGAAATTCTCAGGGAAAGCCAGTGGCTTGTAACGATGCGGGTAAGTTGACACCTATCCTACCGACGATGCTTCGGCCCACTCTCGGTACGGGATCTAGCATGTGCTAACCTGTTCATCTAGTTAACCTCAACCACTTTCGCCTCCTCCGCGTGGTCGGAAAAGGTGCCTTTGGAAAGGTTCGCATTGTCGAGCGCAAAGACACCGGCTTGACGTTTGCACTCAAGTATATCCGTAAAGAGGAAGGTGCGTTCAATTATCCTCATCCTTATCCTATTTAATCTCACAAGTTCGCCGGAGCTCGACTAATTCCGAAAACAGTTGTTCGATCGGAGAGTGTACGAAATATCATTCGTGAACGACGAATGCTGGAGCATCTAAATCACCCGTTCCTTTGCAACTTGCGCTACAGTTTCCAAGACATGGAATACATGTGAGTCGTTTTAAGTCGAAATATCCGGTTTCTGGTTACTAATCACAGAATAGATATATCGTGGTTGATCTCATGAATGGCGGTGATCTCCGATTTCACATCTCGCGGAAATGTTTCACGGAAGAGGCGGTGCGGTTCTGGATGGCCGAGCTTGGTTGTGCCTTGAAGTATATCCATTCTCAGGGCATCATTCATCGAGACCTGAAGCCAGACAATGTGCTCTTGGATTCTGAAGGACATGTCCACTTGGCTGACTTTGTATGTTTAATACTCCTATTCTACCACCTACCCTCCATTTCAGTGTACTACGCGGGAACGGCAACTGACTTCGTTCAACCCAGAATGTCGCGTCGGACTTCCGACCAGGCAAGCCTCTCACAAGCAAGTCTGGAACCTTGGCGTACCTCGCCCCGGAGGTGTACGAGGGTAGTGGCTACTACTTTGAAGTCGATTGGTGGTCTCTGGGTGTCACATTCTACGAATGCATCTACAACAAGGTATGCAAGTTCCCATTTGCCATGGTCACCAATCTAATCTTTATTTTTCCCCGTCACTAGCGACCATTCGAAGGCCGCAGCCAAGAGACTCTGAGTGAAAATATCAAGAAAGCTCAACCGAAATACTATGTCACCAACCCCGCCGTATCGGTTCCTTGCCTACGGGCCCTAGGATCATTGATGGAACGCGACCGCAGTCGTCGGATTGGCGCTATCGGATTCGAAACCTTCACCTCCCATATGTTCTTCGCCGATATTGATTTCGCCGCCCTCGAGCGGAAGGAGATTCCTCCTGTTTTCCTTCCCTCCAGCGACAAGACGAATTTCGATGCAACATACGATTTGGAGGAATTGCTCTTGGAAGAGGCACCCTTGGAGGCTCGAGCTCGGCGACAGAAGCCTCGCGCGGAGCTCCGCGATGACGCCACTGCGAAGGAAATCCGAGAGGATGAGCTGCATCGCTTAATAGAGACCATGTTCGAGCCCTTCGACTATACACTCGTCAACTTCCAAGGCAATGCTGCTGACGCGATCGCGGCTACAACGTAAGTACTCATGGCTGATACACGATGGTGAGACTTTTTGCTTATACCTTCGTCAATAGGAACCCCGAAGATATTCTTCCCATCGCCACTGCTACTACAACCGCTCACGCCCGCCACCCCTCCCACCCTGAATCATCCATGCCACGCCCGCAGCATGAAGCGCCATTGCCCCCTTTGCCTCAGAACGAGAACCTGACCACAGTGAGCGAGAATCTCGATCCAAATGACCCGACCTCTCCCTACCCGCCTCCTTCTCCGTCGACTCGGGCATCTGCCTCCCCTCCCCCTACTGCACCATCCTTCCATCGCCCATTACCTCAAGCTCGGCCGCGCGGAGCCGTAAGGAAACCAAGCAAAGGAGGTGGTGTCCAAATGGTTCTGGACGAAGCTGGAAGCTGGAGTGAGCTTTCCAATCACAGCTCGCTTCCTGCAGAAGGACTCGATGGAGCCGACGGCAAGGGCAAGGGTTCAAACAGCGGCATGCTCTCCTTCCTCAGTCGGAAAAAGGGCCGTGATCGCAGCCCTAAGCCCACTGAACCTGGTGTTCTGGGCAAAGAAGGAGCTCGACAGATCATCAGCAGCTAAGGCGCTTCTTTTGGCAATAGTACACGATCACTGCATGTCGGCGAAAACTGGTTTTCTGAACCGACCATCGGACATGGGTAATCGTGATATCAGTTGTCTCCTCCCAGAAAAAGGCCTTTCCATGGCTTCCTTTCCGTGTGATAACCTTAGTTCGTGGCTGGCGCCTCTGCAGCCATTCCGCGTTCCATTCTCGTGCCTGGTTTAAACCAGCTACGCTCGTTTCACCGCTTCACTTTCCGGTCCGGAAGACACGAGGTTAACTTGGTTACCCCTGTACAGCAACTCTGACGGCCCATATCTGGGTCATAACCAGAGACCTCATGGGGTCCTATCACATCTTCTGCAATGATTTGCAGCAAGGGTTGCCACTGGCACCCATTTTTCGTTCTTCTAGATTCCCCGGGCTCAGCGACAATATTATGTTCTTTCTTCTTCCCCTTCTCCTGATGTTTTCTTGCTTGAATTCTTTCCTACGCCAAGTTTGTACGGATGGACTTTCTCATTGACCATCAGCTAGGCTGTCTGCTCTGGCATCTGTTTTTATACGTTATTTTTATGTGTTCCTATCCTTGGATGTTGTATTTTTGTTGGAGTTCGCATACCCTGATTGATCACGACAGTTTATAGTGTTGGCCTAGAGAGAGAGAGAGAGAGATTGGCGCTCGTTGCATTCAAGAGAGGGCTGGTGTATTTAATGTCTGTTCAAGCCATCTGAAATCGAACAGAAGGCGCATTGCAAATGGCTACCACATACATATACAAATGTAGATAGAAAATCAAATATTCTAAGCTGGTCTTCTTATTCATTTCGCTTCATCACTTCACTCCTCCACTCGATCTGTCGACCATCAGGCTGAACCGATTCGTTGCTCCGCAACAGCGATGTCGCGCACTCCACCTAGATCCAAAGATAAGACATAATCCACGACCAAGAATCAAGTTTAGATTGAAAAAAAAAACCCTGTCCCTCAACCTAGCATACTGCAAGTTCCAGTCGTTAGAGCATAACCCGGAGTGTATGCGCGGCCTTGCACCAAACTAACGCGCATGCGGCAAAACAAAAACAAAAACTCCGAGATTCATCCACAAGCGCATCCATACCCCCTCTACACAACACACACTCAACCAAGTCCAGTCCGATCCGAGGAAAAAACCCAAAGAATGGCCGGTCCATTCCTATAAATTTCAATCCCGACCAATTTATTCCTACTATACCCCCCGATCCGCAGACACAGGGACCCCCGGCCACATCAAGCCAAGAGCCAAGGTGCCGCCAACACGTTTCGCGGGGGACAAAAACAAGGCATTCTCAGATCGACATTCCACATCTCTCACACCCCTGAAGCACCCTGAAGGACCCTGCCAAATACGATTGAAGCCGATCGGCTAGCCGAGTCGCCCACATACATACCTGTCTCCGATCGATCAACATACCAAATCCGATGCCCGACCACTCACGCAGCCGTGATCGGTACGGCTCACGCGACCGCGCACGCGAGTCCCGACGAGAACGAGAACGCGATCGCGATCGGGAGTACACCCGTGGTCGGGACGACGAGGGAGATATATCTAGTCCTGGGAAGTATCGGTTTCGCGGCGCGGAGTCAGGCTACGAGTCACACGATGCGGGGGCACGGCGGGACAGAGATGGAGGGAGCGAGGATGAAGAGCGCAGACGGGAGAGGAGAGAGCGCAGGGAGAGACGACGACTGCGCGAGGAAGAAAGGGCTTACAATGAGGCTGTCGAGGAGCGCAGGAGGGAGAGAGAGATGTCCAAGGCGAAGGAGTCGCCTGCTACGTCACCGGTTAAGAAGCGGGATCGAGAAAGGGATCGGGAGGGGCAAAGGAGGGGCCGGTATGAGGATGATACTCGGAGTCCTGCGAGAGACGTCAGGGAGAGGAAATATCGGTCTCGAGGCGATGATGTTGGTAGGGATAGGGATGTTGATACTGAGGCTGAGGCCGAGGCAAGGCGACAAAGGCGCAGAGAGAGGCACAGAGAGAAAGAGAGGGAGAGGGAAAGGAGTATGGAGGCTGCTGCTGTTGCTACTGCTGCGTCGAAGTCGAGAAAGCATAAAAGTACTGAATCGACAAGCAGTGCGTCACACCTGCTGAGTGCGGATGCGTTGGCCAAATTGGCTACAGAGAACGAAGATGCAGATCGAGCAGAGCGGTCTCGAGACAAAGATGAAGCTAAACGAGAGCGTCGTCGACAAAAGAAGAAAGCTGCTGTGGCTGGTGCTGCCGGTGCCGCGGGGGCTGCTGCTCTAGGTGACGATATCGTCGACAGGTCAAGACACAAGTCTGGTACCAGAATCGTGTCTGGCTCATACTTGGAGGAAGGTCGCAGTCCTGAGATGAAAATGCGTCGGCGTGGAGGTGGTGGCGCCGCTATGGAAGATCACTGGAAGGACGAGGCAAGCTGGGATGATAGCTTCGAAGATGGCAATCGGCAACCACGCTGGAAAATCTGGGCTAATTGGTCTAAGAAAACGCGGATCATCGTCGGTGCTATTTTGTTGGTCGTTTTACTACTGGTCATCATCATCCCAGTGGCTGTGACAGTATCGAAGAACAAAAGTAGCGACTCTGGTAGCGGCAGCGGCTCATCTAGCTCCTCGAGTCCATCCAACTCCAATCTCGATGGTATCAGTCGTGACAGTATCCCTGTGAGTCCTCTCTGGCGTGTCTTCAAGGAAAAAATATACTAATCTTCCTTACTAGGCTTATGCAAAAGGAACGGTGCTTGATCCCTTTACTTGGTATGATACCAACGGCTTCAACGTGACTTTCACCAATGCCACTGTCGGAGGCCTTCATTTAATGGGCCTGAACTCTTCATGGGACGATTCTACGAGAGCCAATGATAATGTTCCTCCGCTCAACGAAAAGTTCCCATACGGCTCCCAGCCCATCCGCGGCGTTAACCTCGGTGGATGGCTTTCAATTGAGCCCTTCATTACGCCATCTTTATTTTCAGGCTACTCCAGCAGTGATGGTATAATTGACGAGTGGACATTGACCACAAAGCTTGGTTCGTCCGCAGCAGATACTATCGAAAAGCACTATGCCAACTTTCTCTCAGAATCGGACTTTGCTGAGATCCAGGAGGCTGGACTGGACCATGTCCGTATCCAGTACTCCTACTGGGCAGTGACTACATACGACGGCGATCCCTACGTTCCAAAAATTGCCTGGCGTTATCTTCTGCGTGCGATCGAATATTGTCGCAAGTATGGACTGCGTGTCAATCTTGATCTCCATGGAATTCCAGGAAGTCAAAACGGCTGGAACCATAGCGGTCGTCAAGGCAGTGTGGGATGGCTGATGGGAGATGATGGCGACTTGAATCGACAGCGATCTCTCGATATCCACGATCAACTCTCTCAATTCTTCGCTCAGGATCGATACAAGAATATCGTGGTGATTTATGGGTTGGTAAATGAGCCTTTGATGCTTTCTATTCCGACTGCGAAGGTGCTTAACTGGACGCAGGAGGCAGCAGAGCTCGTGCGCAAAAACGGCATCGATGCCACCATTGTTTTTCACGATGGGTTTTTGAACCTTGACAAGTGGGATAATATGTTCAAAGACCACCCGGATAATATGTACCTGGACACTCACCAGTACACTACCTTTAACACCGGGGAGATTGTTCTCAACCACACAGCCAAAGTGGACATTATTTGCAACAGCTGGTACAGCATGCTGAAGGAGATCAACAGTACCAGTTCAGGGTAAGTGATATTCATTTATTCTCTATTATTTCACGTAACTAACTTTGGCGACTTAGATGGGGGCCGACTATTTCCGGCGAGTGGTCTCAAGCAGATACTGATTGCGCAAAGTATGTGAATAATGTTGGCCGTGGTACCCGCTGGGAAGGTACCTATGCCACCGACGACTCAACGGCATACTGTCCAACAGCCGATTCAGGAACGGCATGCAGCTGTTCAGGTGCCAATGCCGACGTTGCGGACTATTCAGACAAGTACAAGGAGTGGCTTCAAATGTATGCAGAGGCCCAGATGTCAGCTTTCGAGACTGCGCAAGGCTGGTTCTACTGGACTTGGCGTACCGAGTCTGCAGCTCAGTGGAGTTACCGCACAGCATGGAAGAATGGGTTCATGCCCAAAAAAGCATATTCGCCTTCCTTCAAGTGCGGAGATACTGTGCCTGATTTCTCTGGCCTGCCGGAATACTACTGATTTACGATTCCATTTCCCCCTTGTGGATTGGATCTTGCATTTTCCTTTCTCATCATTGCATATTTGAACATGTTTTATATACATTTTAGATCATCATACCCCTTGAATTCAATCATCCGCATTTATTAACATTGTCACCAATCTCCCTTCATTTCTTTTTAATCATCGTGGATGTCTTTCAAACCATCCGCCTTCTTCCCACATTCCAGGTCGGTAGATACAACTGTTTCTTGCCTCGGGACTAGACACTCCGCCCAAAAGGATATGGACCCTTTGGAAGTCAATCGGCTTCATGATCCACCCGTCAAAACCACTGTCGATATAAGATTGCCGGTCTCTTTCCACCAGCGAGGCCGAAACAGCAAAAATAGGGATACGGTCATGGTCATGGGCCATGGTCGACCGGGTTGATGTTAATTCAAGCTCGTGCTCACGAATTATCTTGGTAGCACTCGAGCCGTCGACAATAGGCATCTTTATCGCTTATCAGCTTTTTATTCCAATGAAATGAGCGGCGATTATCACTTACTTGCAGGTCCATCAGCACTGCGTCGAATGCATTAATGTTCTCTCGAAGAACAGAAGCGCACTCTTTTCCGTTTCCTGTCATGCGGACGGAGTATCCAACTTTTTCAAGGCGTTTCTGTACTATGGTGCTGTTGATGGGATCATCCTCCGCAACTAGGATTTTCGATTTCGCTGTTGTTGAGTCCGCCTTGGAAGCTGGATCCGGGCCGGCTGTAGACTCGATGGTGGATTGCTTCGAGGATGGAAGTGCAATACTTCTTGACTCTCCACTCTTCAAAGCGACATCAACATTTACATGCGAGCCGTTCTTTCGTCCTAGATCCTCTACATTCGACGTATCGTCGCCGCAATGACATGACAATGGATCTCTTCTTTCCTCAGCCTCTTCGTCCTGTTCATTTGGTGTCTGTCTGTTGTCGCTGGACGCCGATTCGCCTTGTCTGTCATCAGATTTTTCATCTGCTGACTGCAAGACATCTTCGCTCTCTGGTAGTGGAAACTTGAGCCGTATCCTGAAACAACTCCCACTGCCTTCCTCCGACTTCAAACTGAGCTGACCATTCATGTTGCGCACTATCCGCGCCACCAGCGCCAGTCCCAGCCCAAGAACACTTTCCTTTCCCAATGTGGCAGCACCCGAGCGTTTCCCACATGGCGCGGAACTTTGCATGTCGCCTTTGTTGGAAATCTGCTCGAGCTGGCAGAATAAAGTTTCCACGGTTTCCTGTGGCATTCCGGAGCCGGTATCGTGAATCGCGACTTCTATGGTAATTTCACCTGGTTCGCAGAAGGGATCCGAAAGCGTACACGACTCGATTGTCACTGCGCCAATTGAGGTATGTTGGACTGCATTACTGATTAGGTTAGTGATAACTTGTCGGACCCGACGCTGGTCGCCTAGCACTGGGGGCAAGGCTGAATGCTGAATGACCTGCAAATCAACTTGTTTCTGTCTAGCCTCTTCCCAGAAAATGTCAGTCGCCTCGCAGAGAGTTTCTGAGAGACTAAAAGCCTCGTCTTTAATCAGATTCTGTCCGTTCTCTGCATTCGTGAGGTCAAGAAGGTCGTTGATAATGTAAACGAGAGACTTGGAGGCAGAGTGTGACCTGGAGAGACTCTCTCGCGTTTCCTGGTTGAGGTTTCCGTCTAGGGCGATCTCTAGATAATTGATGATTGCATTCAGAGGAGTTCGGAATTCATGTGCTGAGTTGGCGAGGAGAAGCTTCAATAGCTGGTCATTTTGCATTGCAGCCTTCTTTTCTTGCCAAATGTCCGTCAATATGCGATACATCATGGCTAAGATGGAAGCTTTGCCAAGATCCGCTGCTGGCCACTCCTCTTGGTGAATTTCGATCTGCCTGTTGTTGTATTCTAGAGTCCATTTATCGGAGATTGACCGGTTTTCACTTCGATAGAAGATGATGAAGTCATGGCCCTCAGGCGAGAGGGGTATGTAAAAGAGTCCTGCAAGATGGTGAAATCCTGGGGAGTATTCCAGATCGTCGAAATCAGACAGAATGTCCCTTGACCAGATAATGATACGCAACCCTTTCGCTCTCAGATATTCAAGCACGGCCAGAGCCTCCTGTGAGTCTGGTGGGTTTCCCAAGATCTTAGTCTCGCCTAGGATTGATGCTGCTGCATAGTCTGCTCCGAAGTGAATAAGAAGGTCTCCCGATATTTCACTTTGCCCTACTGGGTCTTGGCTCATTGGGTCGGTGCTTTTATCACTCGGTTGAAAGGGTAATGTGTAGGATAGTCGCTCAATATTGCTTGAGATAGTCTGACTCATGAGCCACGATGCTCTCTGAAGGAGTGGATGGAGTCTGAATCTCTCGTCGTATGATTGACAACATACCAACCCCCACATCTTTCCAAAGGCGTATATCCCAATTGACATGTAGACACTCGTCGAGGGGCTATTATTCTCTGAGACATCTTTAGAATTTGTAGTCAAGTAACAATGAGAAAGGTCTAGTCCCATTTTGTTTGTCGACGATCTGTAAGCTAATTCTGCTTCATCTCCTCGGGAATGGTATGAAAGACACACGGTGTTCCGAAGATGTTGCATTTTAGCATCCCCGGTGAACGTGCCTTCGTCGAAACTAGCTTCTTTAAAAGTCTGGATACCAAGGGATGGATCAACCGAATCTGCCACCACGGTACCATTGTAATTCCCATCAAGCTGATACACCGTGACACGATGGACTTGGAGTAATTGCATCAAACCCGATACAGCATGATCGATCAACGCATCCATAGTTTGAGAGCTCGAAATTCGGTGAACGACAGATGCCATTTGATTCACAACACCCAGGTTCATGGCATTTTTATTGGAAGTTGTACTCTCCTGTTTGTCCAGCTTGGAAGGAGACGCAAACCAGGGCTCGTCGGCCAAATTTGGCTCACATGGGTGGTATGTATCACGGCCTCCCTCGAGTGAATTGTCTTCAAGATTGGGGTAATCAGACTTCTCAGCCTCAAGCTCGCAAATGATATAGTCCTTGTAGACTTTGCTGGTATGCATTGTGCACCAAAGTAGTTTCTCATGATTTCTTGGAGCTTTTATTAAGAGTGGGAAAACCTCAGGCCCAGAAGTCTTCACGTCATAGCAATCATCCAGGACAATCCCTGCATGCGAATAAAAGGTTTGATGATAAGTTTGTGACAGTATATCACATATTGAGGATATTTCGAATAGTTCATCGGGTGAATAGCCGAGAATGTCTCTCGAGTTGTTGCTCACGGCTTGGATAGTGAGGTGGCCTTCGAGTTCGAGGATGACGAGTATGGCACCGAATCTTTGGATTGTGATGGACTCGTCTTCATCACCATTATCCTCATCTCTTGGATATCCGATGCCTGGTGCTATCTTCTTTGTTCTCAGAATGGCCCCGCCTTCTTGAAGCATTTCTTTTAAACGGAGGTTCGTATCGATTTCCAACTGGATTTTGGGGCTTCCGCCATGGCTTGTTTCACTTGGGTCGCAAAATGGTGTCTCTTTTGAAAAGCGAAGATCATCGCGTATAGGAAGGGTCAATGTCGATTTTGATGATTCTCCAAGCTCGTGCTTCTGATCTCGCAGTGGGAAGAGATGATTCGGCCTCTCCGGTCCGCAATTCAAACCCTCGGCTTCTTCAGGATGTTCTGAAGATTGATTTTTCACTTTCTCATCCAGCACTGTACTCGTACGAAATCCTTCTGAGAATGGAGAGCTTGGAGTTTCCAATATTTCGATGGATGGTGTTTGAAGAGCCGAAGAAGGTGTCGAATCGAAAGAAAGGACTGATCGAACTGGGAACACTCTCTCGACGGTGTCACTTCCGAGCTGGGGAAGCTTCAATTTTGGTGGATCGAGCTCTGTCACCATGGGGGTTTTAGTCTTGGAGTCAGATAGGATGCACATGGACTTTGGTATCGAAAGGGTATCGGCAAGTGTCTTTCTACCATCCGTCACCCTTTCATCCTTTTCGTCCTGGTCACTGTAGACGACTCTCCAGTTGCCGTGGGTACTAAAATTCGGGGACAAGCTCATTGCCGCGGTGATATATGAACCATCGGATGATTTGAAGAGGAGTTAGTCTGTAATTAGTGAAATAATTTGTTAGTCTTCGAGCGTAGCTAGGTCTAGGTAGAGAATCGGGGAAAGACACATAGGAACTCACGTTTTCACGCCTGAACCCCAGGCCAGAAGCTGAGTATTGAGCTATGAATGTTCACGGGTTTTAGGAACGAACATTCAAGCCAGACTAGATCGGAGAATATAGCAAAATGTATGGAAAGAAGGGAAGATGCTAGAGCTGGCTGTGCTAGAGAATGCCCTCTTTCCCCGGAAAATAGACTCACCCCTTGCCCCCAAGTACCGAACAACATCCATGTATTTCTACGTAAACCGAGGCCTATCATATCATCTGGAACTTCCGATGGAGCCTACCATATAGGGTCTATTAATGGTTCCCCCGTCGGGTTTGCCAGGGCATAGCTCAGCAAGTGATTCTTCTTCCGTGATCAAGCGTCCAAATTCTGGCCTGCATTTGATATACAAGGAATACTCTATTGGGGTATCTATGACATGCTAGGCCTCAGGCTTCTGATTGAGGTTTCGAGTTGTCTCAACTCAGGCTCACCTATTGTTCAAATCGACATTTTGGGACACATGTTCAGAAAAACACACAGATTCGCCATATTTTGCATTTCCACGGCACTCTTTCACGGCATCAATCGACTGTAGATTCTGCCGCTTACAAAGTAGAGCCACAAGGAGTTTCTGAGAGGAGATGTGATCCTTGGTTGGAGTCTGGTCTAGACAGGCTTCTCGTTGCCCAGAACATGGTCTCAATGCGGACCACCCGGGTGTCCCTTTGTCGTAGCTGGAGCTAGTCTAAAGTCTAGTCTATCTGTACTATCGATCTAGTCATTTTCTGTTTTCTGCATTCATCATGAATTATGAGTGCTCGCAGGGAGACAAAAGGCCGAAAATGGCAATGACAAAGTATGCCAATCTCGGCCTGTCGAAACTCCAAGGAGAATAACTCCAGGCAAGTTGCCCTCTCGGGGCTCATTTCCGGACCGCGTGCAGATTGCCATGGATCATAACTTGCCCCCGCAATTTGACTCGTGGGCATAAGCTCCGGGTCTAAGTCATGCATGCTAGGTATCCCAAATTATCCATGGATCGGGTGTAGAGCAGGCATTCACTTAATGCAAAGAAAAGACTCGAAGCAATTGTAGAAAAAGAAAGAGTAGAAGAAACTATGTCTCATGTACGCCTGCGGCAAGTGAAAACAGAAGAAAATAACAAATCACGTATGTCCTGGCGGAATACGACCATCACGCTGTATCTATCACTCATAAAATCGATTTCATCAAAGTCTTGATATCATTCGTCCAAGCCATGTCTACCAACGCCGACCATAAACCGAGTCCTCTGGACTGGAACGATTCGACTGTTGTCGCCGCGCCTGATCTCGGGAATCAGAACGTACTGAATTCTGTGAAGAAGGCGCATAATCTTTGTCTTCGTCAGGTCCCCGGAGAACGCTCGGCTTCTTGAAATCCAACGTATCCTGCTTGTCCTCGAAACGAGACTCTGCATCCCGACCAAACAGGGCCATCATGTCGCGCATGGTCAGCTTGCCTGCGGCAGACTTGCCCTCAATGGTCATATTGGCGAGTTCGCGCTTTCGATTTTGGAGGTCGACGATTCGCTCCTCGACACTGTTTTTGATGATCATTCTGTAGATCTTGACGTCAACTGTCTGATTGAGGCGGTGAACGCGATCGATGGCTTGTTCTTCCACGAACTAGATTAGATAAATTAGTAAATTTTTCGCGGCATTTCAGTAGACGATTGAAAACATACGGGGTTCCAGAAAGGCTCCATAATCACGACGCGGCTGGCTGCGGTCAAATTGAGTCCAAGGGCACCAGCCCGCAAACTGCAGAGAAGCACACGGGTACCGCTGTTATTGCGAAGCTTGTTCAGACTCGCCTCGCGGTGATCATTCCTCATTCCACCATCATAACGAGCGAAGCCAATATTGGCGCGCTTCAAGAAGGGCTCAACTTTGTCGAGCATAGATGTGAAGACCGAGAACACGATGAATTTGTAGTCCGCCGACTCTTTGTTGAGAATCTTCATCAATTGGCGGATCTTGGTTGAAGGCAGCACACCGTCAGCTGCCTCCGGGGTTTCGTAGATATCCTCGTCGGATTCGGACCCGGAAGCTGTTTCATCTCCAGAATCGCTGAGAATGATAGGCTGGCTCTTCTTGCGTGAAGGAGAATCAATCTCGTCTTCTGTATCCGAGTCAGATACGCCCAGCCAGTCTCCCCCGCCTTCGGCATCTTCATCATCAGAGCCTCCAGCCTTGCCGAGGTTTGGCATATCACGTTTGTCTTCTGGGACAATCCACTCAGCATCCTCCTCCTCGTCATCACTATCCAGAATGACACGTCGGTTCTTGCGGGATCGTGCGGCTTGAGGGTCGGCTTCCGGGGCGGTTTCCTTGCGGTGTCGATTTGCCTTCTTCTTCTTTGACTTGTCCTTCTTGGTCTTGGTCATGAAATCGGTATTCAAGTTGGTCTCGCACTCGCCGCAGCGGCTTGCGCCACTCTTTCCCTCTTCCTGACTGAGCTCGGTCTGGCAAACATCGCATTTCTTCGTGACAACACTCAAAGCACCGAAAAGATCGGCCACGTCATCCAGTTCATTCGATTTCGTCTCCTTAGACTGACTACCAGTGTTGCCATTCTGCAAAAGGACGTCCTTATCCGCAGCCAAGTCACTCTTGACCAGATCGGGGTGGTTGCAAGCTTGACGAAGACGCAAGAGCAAGACCAACGCTCCAGCGTAGTCAAGCTTGCCCCCCATCATTTCCTCCAATCTGTTTTCCGTCCGTTTTTCGAGGCGTTTATAGAAGTTCAATTCGCCTTCCATAAGCTCCCCATCCACCCTAATGACTTCACGCTTGACGATATGGAAGCCATTCGACTTTTTATTCTTCCCGTCTGCACCGGCCTTCATGTTGTCGTTGTTTTTCAGGACGTCCTTGGTGCGACGTTTCATAAAAGCCTTCAGATAGATTTGTAGGCGTTGGATAGCGAGGCCACCACGGCCGTTGTTGAGAGGACGACTGATCTGATCCCTCCAAGCAGCCAGTTCGTCGTATGGCTTGATCCGGAGGAATCTTATCAGACTCTGCAACTCATCAAGGTTATTCTGCATCGGAGTTCCGGTCAAGCACCAGCGGAACTTGGCATCAAGAGAATAGGCTGCCTGAGTAGCTTTTGCGTTCCGGTTCTTGATAGTGTGAGCCTCGTCGAGAATGACGCGATACCAATAAACAGAGAAGATTCCAGACTTCTTAGCCTTGTCTGCGGCAGCTGTTCCAGACTCTGATGTGAGAGTTCCGTAAGTCGTAATTACAACATCGTAATCACCCAGCGAAGTGGCTGTCTTCGCACGGTTTGTGCCGTGATACACACAAACACGAAGTCTGTGTGTTTTCTCAATTTTATCGAGAATCTCTCCTTCCCATTGTTTGATTAGCGCTAACGGTGCCACGACGAGTGTGGTCTTGCTGAGTGTGGCGGTCGGCAGTGCATAATCGTCTTTCTTGGCCGCAGATGAATCGAATTTATCGCTGTTTTCGTATTCGGATTTGTTGTTTTGGAGAATCAGGGCGATGGCTTGGACAGTTTTTCCAAGACCCATGTCGTCGGCGAGAATTCCACCTTTGGGATAAATCCCCTTGGTTGTACGTTGGCCCGTTTCTTTGTTGCACATCCATTTGACGCCCTCGACTTGATGAGGTAGAAGATTGACTTTCAAGCCTGGGATGATTGCATCTTCGTCGTCGTCTTCTTCTTCTTCTTCATCGTCTTCTTCGTCATTCTCAGCCTCTGCATCATCTTCCTCATCCTCACCCTCTGAGTCGACAACATCGCTCCTCTCCGCTGCCTCCGAGTCTGATTTCGATGCTTCTTCCGAGGTACCGGGCACCTTGATATCAAGCTCCTTGGGCTTCGGTTCAGCTGTTTTTGTATCATTGACAGTAACGCCTTCAAGTTGGGCAGCCAGATCGTCCAAGTCGTCACTTGCGTCCTTTTTCTCCGCCTTGGCGGGTTCAGTAGACTTGACCTTCTCTGCAGCCTTCGCCTTCTTTGATAGCTTCTTCTTGCCCTTCTTCTTGGATTTGGACTTGACAGGCTTCCCCTCCTCGTCGTCCTCAAAGGCACCTTCCAGAAGAGCTTTGATGTTTTCATTCGCCTTCTCAGTATCAACGTAACTATTGACGTCCATGGCGCCGAAGCTAGGCCCATAGCTAGTACTCTGGGAGTCCCTATGAGTCTGGTGAGGGTCATCCTGGGTCAAGTCTATAAAAGCCTGAAGATTCTTCGATGCATTTGATACTTTGGGTGGACCTGCTTTGGACTGAAAGATAGCGCGCGGGGCAGCCGGTGTTGTGTAGTTGATTTGTTGGGGGCGTTTAATGGGTGTGGCGCCCGTTTGATACGAGGAGCGGTGGTCATTGTATGCCGAGGGCCTGACTGGCTTGAATGGGTCAAATGGTCGCTTCGCAGAGGGCGTTGCCATGCCCGCACCTGGTGTTGGCGCACCTTGTGGTCGGTAGTGGGATGATCCGTGTTGTTGGGTAGCAAAGGAGGAATTTGGACGAGGGACGGGGCGATGGTGCTCAGGCCTTGAATGATTGGACTTCGGAATATTGAAGGGGTGGTTGGAGGTAACCGGGCGAGGCTGAGGCTGTTGTGGACGCTGGGGTGGCTGTTGGCGTTGAGGTTGTCCCATCGGCGAAGGTCTGCCAAACTCCGGATGTTGGGAGGCGGAGCTTTGAGACTGCTCATTTGTCTTCCGGGGGGTCACGCCTTCGACTGGAGCATTGCTCTCTCTAGCCATGTTTGGTGGGGGGTGGAGGGTATCCAGGGATTTTTCAACGTGGCGATATTTGTGAATTCGACAGCTTGGGATCAACGCGTTCGAGAAGCTAATGGATGAATCCAGATAAATGTCGAGGGATTGTTTGGAGGCTTTGGTCGTCGATTTTGATTTCCTTTATGTGGAATAGAAAGAATCAGCTTCTATGTCGTAGCATTGCAAGTGACCAAGTATGCAAAGTGGGCTTGTCACAGTTTGGCGGGGTACCATAATAACCATCAACAATCAGGCTCGACTGCCTCGACTAGTGTGATTACCATGGCGCATCACAGTCTCCGATCGAAGATATCAAGTGTTAGATCAAATATCAAATACTCACCTGAAGTTAGTACAGCTGTCAAAGAAATTGACACGCGGGGGCGGGGGTAAGGGTTGAGATGGGAAAGAATCGAGAGAGCAAATCGCGCGTTATCGATAGACAAGTTGTTTTCCCGATTCCCCAGCAACGGTTTCTGCCTGAGGCTACCAAACAACGCAGGTCAACAAAGGGCAAACAGTCAACCTCGGAACAGCATATCAGAACTGAAGGAATTCAAAATTTAAGAGCCGGCTGCTTTGCGTCGGTTGTTGACCCGGTAAGGGTCATGGATCTCAGGAGTGACTGTTTTTCAACGTGCTTCAACGGGCTGCTGTCAAGGCCCGGTACAGCTTTGCTTGTTAGTTGCAACTAGGGAAAAACCATGCTTCACTATCATGATACATTGAGAAAACACTTACTTCCAGGGTTTGATTTAATTCTACTAGTATAGAGCAGAACACAGGAATCTTTATAATCTTCAAGTTTATTCATTTATAAAAATTTCCAAAAAAGAAAAAGCCAAGTGCAACGCAATTCCATGCAGCATCCCGATCAAATCTCGCCAATCACACTCTTCAATATATCCGGTAGAATGACACTCGCATCACCCTCGAAAAACCAATCAGTTTCTTTCAGCGGCTCCGCTCGCGACTTTCGGGGGGAGTAGGGCTCCATGTTGATCACGGCAACTCGTGCTCCCTTGTCACGGGCATCATCAACGTAGCCTGCAGCGGGGTAGACTTGAGAGCTCGTACCAATTACGAGCATCAGGTCGATGGGCTCGGAGCTCATCCATTCCTCCACCGTTTCCAATGTAGTAGTGGGCAAGGGCTCTCCAAACCAGACTACTCCGGGTCGGAGAAGACCGTTGCATTCAGGGCATTGGGGCAGCTCTTCATCCGAGAGGTTGGGGATATGATTGCTGATGTCGGAGATGTCAATCTCTTCGTCGGACTCATCTTTGTTCTCTTCCTTGCACTCCTTATTTTCATCACCCACCTCCTTCTTCTCATCTCTCACTTTCTGCTCCTCTTGAACCTCCTTTTCTGAATCGTCCTCTGATTCATCCGTTTGCTGTGCAACCACCTTGTCTTCTTTCTGTTCAGTATTCTTGGGCGATGACTTTTTAGGAATTGCCAAAGCAGGAACAATAGGGTCAGTAAAGTCCTGGCGGGTATATTTGCAGTAGAAGTCGGTGCATTTGATATCGAACAGTGAGCCGTGAAGTAGATGTAGTTGTTCAGACGGGTGTTGTGCTCGCTGCGATAGACCTGAACCCCCGGCAGAATTATAATCATGTTAAACAAAAGTTTCATAAGACTTCAGATCTAGGAGTTTTAGATTTATCAAATAATCTTACCGTCAACATTCTGAGAGAGGGTAATAAAGTCTCTGTTCTTTCGTGACAACTCCGCCAACGCATAATGACCTTTATTCGGGGCTGCTTTCAACGCCATATGTCGACGAAAGCTATAGAACTGCCAGACTAGGTCCGGGTTTTCTTCAAAGGCTTCTGGAGTCGCTAGATCGGTTGCATCGTGGGTACGCCATAGTCCTCCAGCGCCGCGGAAAGTCGGTAGACCCGAGGCAGCGGAGAGACCAGCGCCCACCAAAGCGACGATACGCCGACATGTTTTTAAATGAGCAGCAAAAGACTCGCGATCTGTAGAAGGAAGAGCGGCACGGGCGGCCTGTTTGGCAGCTGAAGTCATGATGAAGAAGGGGAGGGATGAGAATGCAAAAGCAAAAATCAGATGGAAGAAGTATATGAAGAGCCCAAGGTTCAAGTTGGAGAAAATGGCGTGGGGCTTGCCGATCTCAGCGGGGCCCGTCAAAGAATTTAGGATTTCCCGAGTCCAAGAACTAGTACTCTGATCCTGCGCTAGTTGAGTTCTTTGAATCACCTCAAAGATCACCTGGGCAGGTGAAAGGAAGTCACATTACTAGTAATTTAGTAGCTCGAGGCTGCCTTGGGTCTTGACTCTTTCATCCAGGCATCAGCTTTGCTCGGATATTTGTAAAGAAGTCACTACGTAGTCCACCCGGATATTAATTTGGCATCAAACCCTTGGAACCCTCTTAACTCTTGGAATTTCAAGACATATGACTTCAAGTTGAAATAAGCTACCCAGTTATCATATTGAATAATAGCAAGAGTTTCAGTGCAGCTCCTCAGCAGGCATCTGTACAACCACAGCGCTCTCCGCCAAAGCCTGATTCTGCTTATTCTTAGTCTCAATGTAAGAGGTAATATGCTCGGGAACTTCCCCAAGTTTACCATCACCACTGGCTACCGGCGTTCCGAAAGTCTGCCAGACAGGAACAACGCCCGTCCAGATACGACTAGTGATCTGCGGATCCTCACTATCCTTGCGCTCATCCGAGACCCCACCGTCACGAATCTTCCCACTGCCATCCATGACCTTGACCTTGAGGATAACGGTAGATGACATCTCCGCCTTGTCAGGAGGAACGCGGGAGTTATCCCAACGATTCTCGAGAACAGAGTTCGTGATCATCTTCATGGCCCACAGTTTCTCCTGTTCATCTGTGACGAGGCTGGCGTAGCCGTGCAGGACGGCGGAGCGGTAGTTGTAGCTATGCGAGTTGGGCGTCAGAGATAGAATTAGACCGTCTACCTGGCTGGTTGCCACGCAAATGGGTAGACCCTCGCCATCAGAGGCGCGGGCGAGATTCATTATGCGCGAGCTCACGTAGCCGTGGAGGTAGCATTCCAGCGGTTCGTTGATGGTCGCGGAGGGGTACTCGAAGGAACCCATTTGACCGATCATCGGCAAGATGGTGGGGAAAGGGTCGTCCGGGCCTGGATTAAAGGATACATGGAGGACTGGGGAGGCATTTATGATGGCGTGGATTGGACCAAGGTCATATGTAGCTAAATGGTTCAAGTTGTCAGTAGCAGTAGTAGTACTATGTGGAATGGCAACCTAAAGGCATCATACCGCGGTGCTTGTATCGGTTGACGGTGTTCGACGACCGTTTGGGATAGGTGAGGGTTCTTCCCATCTTCAGAATTTTCGATTTAGTATTGAAATTGATCGGAACCTGTTTCAGTATAACACGTGAAGTTGAATCAATTCAATTTTACTAGTAGTAGTACCAGTACTGACTTGCATATAGTTATTGGGAAATACTCGTTTATATAGCTAGGTAGGTAGTAGTATCTACCTAGGATTGAGTCACTCCTAGATAATCAATTTACCAGTGTCACAGTCCTTTACCATCACTCCCGACTGAATACGACACGCTTTAGCCCGCCTATTCGAGTAGGTCCATCCGTGCCAGCTTAACAGCGATTGGCTGCAAGCCTTTAACGGAGTTCAAGTTGACTGGAACATGGGGATTCGCCCGAGAAATGGAAAGTATATACTACTAGTACATGACACAATAGCCTGGAAAGGGAATGATCGGTAGAATGAGAGCCTTAGTAGATATAGCACAGCAAGCCCTGCTTAGACACCTTAAAGGTAATCCTGATTGCAACACTTTGTTGGTGATTGGCCCACACCGCCGACGGGGCCATTTCGATCAATCCCATTGGAACTGCCTCACCTCCAGCTATCGCTATCACCGGTCACCTCCGCATACTCCGTACATTTCGCAATGGCATGCAGGTCACTCGCCCGATGCGCTCGCCTGCGCCCTTCGTCTCGCCCGAGTCTACTCAGCCTGACACCGTCCCGTCACACTTTCATTCGCACCCCTTCGCGCTCGTCTAGGACTTACGCTACCGAGTCCGTGTTCGCCGCGGACCTCAAGTTCGGCCAGCCTTTGCATGAGACACACCCCCACCTCCTCGATCCTGGTGAACGTACGTGCATAGACTTGCTGTTTTGGATTTTTTCTGATTACACTGCGAATGATTCAACTGACACAAACAAATTATAGTTACCCCGGGAATCACCGCACTCGAGTATGCCCAGCGTCGGTCGCGCCTCGCCAACAAGCTCCCCAAGGGCGCCGTCGCTATTCTCGCCGCTTCCGAAGTGAAGTATCGCGCGCCAGGGATCTTTAATGAGTACCGACAGGATTCCAATTTCTTCTACCTTACAGGTGGGTACAGTGAAGGACGACAATCGCGAGAGGAATCATTTTGACCATGGATTAGGATTCAACGAGCCCAACGCACTTGCAGTAATCGGCAACGATGGATCTGGGGATAATCATACCTTCCACCTCTACGTGAGGGAGAAGGACGCTCGAGCTGAACTCTGGGATGGTGCGCGGTCCGGCACACAGGCCGCCGTGGACGTCTTCAACGCCGATGAGGTTGGTACTGCACGTCGCATAAGCACAGGCGCAATAAAAAAAGAATGAAACCAAGACTAACATTCCCGGTCTACAGACAGGAAATATCGAAAACATCGGAGACATTCTCCCCAGAATTGTGACCGGCGCCTCGGAGGTTTACTCAGACATCCCCTCACTCGATAACGCGAGGTCATCGCTGCACCGATATCTCTATGGACCGACCGTTGCTTCGGAGAAGCTGAAGAAGTTCGTGGATCACCGCAAGGTCAAACCTCTCAAGTCGATCCTGAACGAGATGCGGGCCTTCAAAAGCGAGAACGAGGTAGTACACATGCGCATGCTGGGACAGGCTGCTGGGCGCTCATTCACGGATTCGATGCGTCAGTCTTTTGCCACAGAGAAGGCTTTGATGTCGTATCTGGAATATCAGTTCAAGGTGCACGGATGTGATGGGAGCGCTTTTGTTCCTGTCATTGCGGGCGGACAGGTATGTGATGCTAGAGACCTTTGACAAGGATAAGGAAATACTAATGGGAACAGAATGCATTGAGTATCCACTATACGAGAAACGACGATGCTCTGCGGTATGTATCCGTCTCGTGTTGCCAATTTGCAATATAACTAACGAAATTGGACAGGGACGGAGATCTGATTCTTGTTGACGGTGGTGGTGTAAGTACCCGACTATTCCTATTTTTTTCTTCTCAATCAGATGAGGAAATTTGAAATAGAAATTCTGACAGCCTTTTAGGAACTTGGGGGTTATATTTCTGATATCACAAGAACTTGGCCCGTGAGCGGCAAGTTTACTGATCCCCAGCGGGACTTGTACAATGCAGTGCTCAACGTGCACCGCACGAGTCTGGCTCTTTGCCGCGAGAATGCCAATCTCTCGTTGGACAAACTTCATGGCATTGCTGAGAACGGACTGAAGGACCAGCTGAAGCAGCTTGGGTTTGACATGTCTGGAGCTGTATGTAGTATCCCCATTAACCATGACGAGGCGGCCACGGCTGACACTATAACAGGCTATCAACACTCTCTTCCCCCATCACTTGGGCCATTATATTGGCCTCGATGTACATGATTGCCCTGGATACTCTCGGGGATATAATCTGAAGGCTGGACAGTGCATTACTATTGAACCGTCGGTCCCCCTCCTAACTATCCACCCCAGTACTATGTCACTAATCGACTGCAGTGGTATTTATGTCCCGAACGATGAGCGATGGCCAGAGCATTTCCGTGGTATTGGCATTCGCATTGAAGATAGTGTCTGCGTTGGAGATGAACATCCTATTGTTTTGACCCCCGAGGCCGTCAAAGAGGTATGTTTGTTTACATTGAAATTGTATGAGTGAGGGGCTAACTGTAGTAGGTTGATGATATTGAAGCACTGCGTAGTTAGAAATATCAACATTGTATAGTAGCTGTCAGATACCCTCTCAAAACCAAATGTACAATACGTCTCCAGCCCCCCCTGACGTGGGGGCTGTTACTTTGCATCCTTTTGCCTTGAAAGTTTATGGTGGCTGGCCCGGGTGGTTGGTATTATTCTTTGTTGCGATGATCAAAACAGAGGAAGAAGAAGAATTAGCAGCTTTGCAATTCCTCAAAGAAATGTAGAGTTCAAAATTAAATAAGCATTAGAATTCAAAGAAATGCTCGGCACGTCGCGCCCGTAGGAATGTAATGTTGATGGTTCATGCTTCGCGCGACCCTGTTGGTTGTCCCGGCGCAGGCAAAACAAACGGAGCGGGTCTCCACCACACCCATTTTGCCCTTCGACGGGGGACCTCTTCCTTCTTCAACCCCAAATCCACTACCACAACCTCACCTTCTTTATCTTCCCTGGGTTGTGTTGAATTCTCCCTCCAGTTCGACTTTGACCGTTCTCTGTGCTACCATGCAGTACTCCCTCTAAAGTCACTGTCGGGACCAGCTAAGGACGTGTAGCACGTCGCGTGCTCGAACTCGAATACCCCTCTCTAACAGCTTGAACCCCAGCTGTGCAGACTCGAAGCTATTGACACGCTTAACTTGTCATCCAGAGATATCGTGTCCATATGGCCGCTGTATTCGTTCCCCCCTCCCCCCAAACCTCCCTGAACATGTCGACTCGACGCCCTCTCGCCAACGTGCCGAATGCCACCAATTCTCCTCACAGGACCGGGCTCTTGCCTGCCAAACGAGCCCGGTCGACTCAACTCGAGATTCCATACGGCCAGCCCCCGCCCAAGAAGCAAGTGATGGATGTTGCGGAGCAAGAGACTCGGTCTCCCTCGCGGAGTAGATCAACCGTTCAACAAAGCACTGAGTCTAGGCTCTTTGCTCGCCGATCCAATAACGCCAACCCTAGCGCGTTTGAGAAGAAGCTCGTTGCAGCGAGAGATCGTGAACGGCAGCCGGTTGTGAAGGGAACCAAGGGCGAGAGGCCATCCGCGGATACGCTGGATAATATTCGTCAATGGCAACGGCATTACCGCAAGGCTTTCCCTCAGTTTGTCTTCTATTTCGATAGTATCCCAGAAGATGTTCGCCGAAAGTTCTCTCGTCAGGTGGTTGCACTTGGAGCTGTAAGCAACTCCCTTCCCGTCCGAATATGCAACGCGTCTAAAGACGTTGTGCCATTCGTCCTGTCAGGGACTGGTTAACGTTTGCTTGGACTGTTTGCTAACATCAATTTATAGCGTGAGGAGAAGTTCTTCTCTCGACTAGTCACCCACGTCGTCACCTCACGTCCCATCCCTGCCGAAGCCGTCACAAGTCCAACCGAAGAGTCTACAGCTACACCAGAGGCTAGTGGTGATGCCCATATCCAAACAGTCAACCCATCCTTACTAGACAAAAGTGCTGGTCGCCGGGATCAAGGAAACATGGATGTCTTGCAAAGAGCTCGACAGATGGGCATGAAGATCTGGGCACTGGAGAAGTTGCAACGGATGATCACGACAATCAATGACAATGAGCTTGCTGGTCAACATGATGCTGTATCGCGGAGCAAAGCTGCCGGTGGCCATACTACGCATGGCAAGGGTGATAATGATCTATCACGCGTGCTTCGTCAAGAAATGTTGAATGGGCCATCGGACCGCGATCCTCTGGCATCTATGGAAATGCTGGTGTTCAAGGGGCCTTTTATCTACATCCACGACATGAACGAGAAGACCAAGCCGGTCATGGTTCGAGAGTATTCGCGCGTCGCCAAACGCCAGGATGGATCTTGGCCCCAATTCCGAAGTGCGCCCCTGGGCAAGTGTCCTTTTATCGATGAGCCTCCCAGTCGCAAAGAGTATGATCGTCACCGGATGCGTCAAGCTCAGAAGGAAAAGAAAGCCGCTCGACAGAATGTTGAGGAGCCTCAACCTCAACCTGTTGCTACTAATGAAACGCCCATCGACACCAAAGCATGCACAGAAGTCGCCAAGCCACAGATGTCAATTGAGGAGAATTCGAAGCCTCTATCACCAGTCGAAATTCCAGGAAAACCCTCCTTTGAAGAAACCCACGAAAAGAAAGAGCTCTGAAAGCTTCATCCCTCCTAATTTTCCTCGAACTGGTCCTTTCTATACTGGCCGCGAGCCTGCGGCATCCGGTGTGCAACCATCCAATGTTACTTCCGCTATCCGATCACAGATGATCTCTTCCACTGCAGCTGCGCCTGGTGCTAAGGCAGGACTGAGCAAGGAAGTCCACGGGTTGAAACGCAAGGTTCTGGAGAAGGGCACTGGTGGTATCATCACGGGATCGATGGCCGCACCTCAACGTCCGAGCAACGGCTCGTCACTGAACCCCATCAGAGCTCAATCAACCGAGTCCAACAAATCAGCTGTTCCTGAGAAGACTGGCCACGAAGAGGATGGAAATCAATCCGAAGGAGCTGGTAACAAGCGCCGGCGGGACGAGCGACGGGATAGCCAACAGAAGAAGCCTGAACAACGGCGACGAGATCCCAAACCTGGGTACTGTGAGAACTGCAGAGACAAGTTTGATGACTTTGAAGAGCACACCCTCACTCGAAAGCATCGTCGATTTGCACAGAACACTTCCAACTGGGCCGAACTCGACGCCCTACTCTTCGAAATTCAACGCCCGCTCAAGGACGAGTATCAGTTTTGAGTTGGCCTCGAAGAGCACACCTCACGTGAATGCACCTCCATTCCCCTAGAACTCTTACAAACGGCCTACAATGGACGCCTTTTTCGAAATCCAACATCCGCCCAAGCAAGAATATGATTTTTTTTTTTTTCGCGAGTTAATCTGTCGATGTCGATTCACCATGGTTCACCTTTGAAAATACGAATCTAACCCTGCGTCGACTATTGTTGCATTTTCTTGCCGCCAGGCCTTTCCCCCGTCTTTGTTCTCCTTCCAATGCTCAAGAATTCTTATTTAAGCATTGGGTTCACCACGTCTCCCAACCCAGGGAAGTGGCATCTTGGACCGCATCACCATACCCAACGGCATCGATACATCTGCATCGCATTATGTGGAGTTTTCATTATCACCTCGCATCAGCACTGCTACGGCAGCTACTCAACTGATACAGCAACTTGTCTTGACCTCCCTGAGTGAGGTCGTCCATTCCTTTGAGCCCATCTTTCTCCTTCAATACCTTTCTCCCCATTGTATTTTCTACTCAACTTTTTCTTCTCATTTTTGCATGAACGCATTCGTTATGGAAAACGCAACTACTTATACAATGCCTCGGTGTGCCGGGCTGTACCAAATCATGATTCCCACCCATATTTTCCTTGTTTCGTCTTGTTTCTTTTCCGGTGGCTGGGTGTTGGTGCGTGCCACGCACATCCCACCTCTGCGGATCGTTTATCTGGGTGCCTGGAGGCTCACTGTCCACCATGGCCTCGTGGTGCATGGGCGGCTTCCGTCGACGTTTGACATGATTGCAAGGAGGGGTGGTGCATGGCATGGCATTGCATTGCATCCTGTTACATGATCTCATCTGTCAATAGTGCCTACGGGCCTAATTGTTCGCTCATCTACTTGTGTTTCTCTTGTTTGTTCATCCGGTGGAGTTCTTTGTCCTCTTTTTATCTTTCGGGTCTTAATACCCGGCGCAAGTGGTGGGTTTAGTTTTGTTCACAACAGTAGTACCTACAATCTATTGACTCTACAATAATCACTTCCTCTTTCTTCCCCGCCGTACTAGTAGCCGGAATACCCCCATGAGCTTCAACTTGCGATATCGGCTGTTATGTTTGCCTGCTGAATTCGGGTTATCCTCGGTTAACACGCACACACAATACCAGTGCAATCCAATGCTTAATCCAAATGGTCTAGTTAGTCTCCAAGTCCCAAGTATACCAAGCAGTCCTCAGCACTCCCCGCACTAACCCCAAAACAGAAGTTACCTCGGCCACGCATTCGGGAAGCGGTGAGCCGATTACGCCGATTACAGGAGATACAGTACTTAACTATGTATCTGCTGTACAATTGGTTTCCCAACTCATCGAAGAAATTAGATCCTAACTTCTTTTTCGAAATGCATAGCCGGCAGCTATAACAATTATCGCAAACCAAACTATGCACATCATATGCTCAACACCAAACTACCCCACCATGCCTCGCCCCACCAGGGAAGAGCAGATCACCAGTAACCGCAAACAACCGAACTCCCGGTATTAGCGGTATTGGCAATACTGGCAGTACCCAAGTGACGGGCATCTTTAATGCCGCGGCGGGTCGAAGCTCAACCTCGAGATTTCTTTTTTTTAAGCGGAGATGCTCCCGTCTACGCTGCATAACCCAGACCTTCCCGGACAGATGGAAGTGGTGTTCATCCATTTAAAGGCCCTGAGATTGAGACAAGCAACAACGTGAAATCTACACCAGAACCGCAGAAACCCCTCCATTCTTCCCACGTGCCGAGCATTTTGTGAGGTCATTGCCGCGACATCTGGCTTTGAGCTTCGTTGAGCTACGAACAATCGGTCTACAGCTTGATTTTTCTTCTCCGATCTCTCTTTTGATACTCTATCTGTGTGAGGTGTGAGCTGTTATTGAGCTGTATTGCTTGAATCTTCTCGCTTTCCGCCGTCCTCCGGGGCCTCTTCTCTCATCTCTCGCCATCTCCATCGACCTGATCGGCGCCGCTATGACTGTCCCTGCTTCGGCCTTGCGGCCGCTCTCACGAAGCAGCTTCCTGAACCCATGCCTACTGGCTTCGAGCGCACTGCGCGCTACTGCCCCCCGCCCCCGGAAGAATATCACAGCGTCTCGATCTCCCACTCTCTCGACTCCTTCCTCGCCGCTTCGCTCCCAGATCCGATACAGCTCCTATAACTCGCCTGATTACGCGCCAAATACCCCCAATGCTCGGAAGAAGGTTACCATGCAGACGTTGAAAAGTCTTTATAGGAAGGGCGAGCCGATCACAATGTTGACGGCGCATGATTTCCCCAGTGCCCATGTGGCTGATGTCGCCGGCATGGATGTAGTATTGGTCGGTGATAGCCTGGGCATGGTGGCGCTAGGATTGGATAACACGACCGAGGTGAACATGGATGATATGATCTTGCATTGCAGGAGTGTGGTCCGTGGAGCGAAGAGCGCATTCATTGTAAGTTGCCTCGTGGTCGTGTCACGGTTGCATACTAGCATGGACTGACAATGTTGCTCTCTTTCCTCAGGTCGGTGATTTGCCAATGGGTTCTTATGAGATCTCCCCCGAACAGGCGGTGGAGTCTTCCCTCCGTCTCGTGAAGGAAGGGCGGGTACAGGGAGTCAAAATCGAGGGCGGCGAGGAATTGGGTCCGACAATTAAGAAGATAACACAGGCTGGTATCCCGGTCGTCGGACACGTGGGTCTGACTCCTCAGCGTCAAAATGCCCTCGGCGGCTTCCGGGTCCAGGGCAAGACGTGTCCGAGCGCGATGCAGCTCCTGAAAGACGCGCTGGTCATGCAAGAGGCTGGAGTATTCATGTTTGTCCTCGAAGCGATGCCTCCAGAGGTAGCCACTCTCATCACGAAAAGGCTCAAGGTTCCGACCATCGGTATTGGCGCTGGTAACGGCTGCTCCGGCCAGGTGTTGGTGCAGATCGATATGACTGGCAACTTCCAGCCGGGTCGATTTGTTCCGAAATTCGTGAAGAGGTATGCAGACGTCTGGGGGGAGGCCGCTCGCGGCATTGCACAGTATCGCGACGAAGTCAAGAGTCGCGCATTCCCGTCACAGGAATACACGTATCCGATCACAAAGGAGGAATTGGAAAAGTTCGAGAAGACAGTGGACGAAATTTATGGCAAATAACGGAACCCCCTGTATCATTCATACCATTTGGGAGGTATCACTTGCATGTGATTTGGTGTCAATCAGCATCTGTACATAGTTCATTCATCACTTCCGTGCATTGGGGTCTGTCGGAGTGCTGGCTCAACCGAATGCCGGCGTCATCGAGTAAGCAACAATTAACTGATCATCGGTTTTGAAACACTGCAATGTAATCAATTAGCGGGTTAATCTACCAAATCGAAAAACAGAGGACGAACTCTAAATAGTCCGCCTACACCTTCGTCTAGACCAGGTGCGAAAACACTGTTAACGTAACAGAAGACGGAGTCTGTGTCCTTGCAGTCAAGCTTCTTTCGAAGGAACTTGACGACAGTTTCAAATTTTTGAGAGGCGCTAATCTTGAACACCCGATTCTTGAGTATTGGGGCGGATGGAAGCGGTTGAAAGCGAACAGTAACTAGAGACGTTAGTCGATACTTTTCTTCAAATAGACCGGAATAGCCTCGGCCAAAAAAAAGCATTATTTCTGCACAAGAGAAAGATCCAAAAAAGGGGGGGAAGCGACAAGGTGGGCGCATTAAATAGGACTAGGCTAGTCATACCTTTGCCAGCATCAATAGCCTCGACGTCAGCCAATGCTTGGTGGGCATCACGGGGTAAACCAGTCAACATAACGGATGCCGTCATGTTCATTGGTAGGTCTGCGCCATGTTCGTCGTCTGGGATCGGAGTTTCTAGGCCTGGGGAGTCTGGCCCTGGCCGCTGTTCTTGACGGCTAGTATTGCCTATGCTCGGACTGGGTCGATGGCTGAGGGTGCTTCCGCTGGGTAGATTGGGAGAGTTGCGAGCAGAGCGCTCCGATGGTGATGATGAGTCCATGCCGATGCTGTTGTCCCAGAAGCCAGCGAGGACGTACTGTTTAATGTTTGGATGTCAAGGTGGGGGGGGGGTTGGGGAAGTTAAGCTTGGGCGGGAGAGAGACAGGGACAGGCAGAACCACAGCTGATCTACGTTGGAGCTTAAATTCTAAGCGCCATCATCAGCCGACTATGAAATCAGTGTCTAAAGTGATATGAGTTGAATAGTAAATATCCCTATAACTACTTTATGAGGGCCAAAAATAAAAAAGGAAACGTAGAATGATCTTATTTTAGGACCATCATACAAGGTTATTCTTGTGGTTAGCCTGTCCAGATTTGATCGTGTGTGCAAGTACAACTCATCGGGTTTAGTTGGTTTACTACGTGGCCATGTTAGGTCTAGTTTGTACCCAGCCGCTACCCTGTTGGGCACATTTTTGTTCTGTCTCTAGATTACTAGTAAGTTAGTATCTTTGGATATCCGATACATACAAGGTAAGGTAAAATAAGGAAAGTTGCGTGTATTCTGATCCATGGAACCCGGCTGAGTCATCCGTCGTTCACCTGCTACACTCTCAAATGGGCAACCCCCTCTTCCCTTCTCGTTCTTCCTTCTCTCACATTAATGCTACTCATACCTCGGAAATAAATTGCTGGATATATCTGGCTAGTCTTGGACACTCTCGCTGCTTTTTCGACCTCACCTCACCCTCTCTACTTGCACCGCTGCTTCTACTTCTGCTCCCCTGCTCCACCTCCGGCTCAGGTTCCGGTGACCTCATTCTCCATTTCTCCTGGTCACGACCTCGACCAAGCTTGCACACTTTGCAGCCCAGCAGCTTCAACACCTTTGCCACTCGCCATTGCTAGGAATTTATCCCATACCGCTTCAAGCCGCCACTATGAGTAGCCCCAAACGAAGAATCGAGACCGATGTGAGTAACCCCGAGCGCTTGGAGATAAGCTCCCGCGGTCCCCGCAATCACTAACCAGTGGCTCTTTTACTGTTCAGGTCATGAAGTATCTTCTACAACGCTTCCTCGCAACTCCTTGTACATCTATGCTAACTCCCATCTAGGATGTACGCTCGCCGATCCCCCCCCCCACGACCCCCGTCATACACGATTGAATGAAGAACATGCTAGTTGGCTGAGGAAGCGTATCTAACCTCCTATATAGGTTGATGAGTGACTATGAGGTGACACTGGTGAACGATAATAGTAAGAATTTCCTATGGTCCTTCGCCAAGTCGCATGTTCAGTCCTGCTAAACAAAGCTCTATCTAGTGTATGTACCAAGCGCCTGCGAACCATCGCCAAGGAAACGACTCACATAATCATACAGGCAGGAATTCTATGTCCGATTCAAGGGCCCAGAAGAGAGTATGTGCATGCTTGCTAATTTTGGTCGGGGATCACACCATGCTAACTCTACCAGCACCGTTTACTGGCGGACACTGGAAAATCCATGTGGAACTGCCTGATCAATACCCTTACAAGAGTCCAAGTATTGGATTCGTTAACCGGATTTTCCATCCCAATATCGATGAGCTGTGAGCCTCTACAACTAACAGCTACGCATGTCGACCATGGGATTCTAATTACAAATTGCAGATCTGGCTCTGTCTGCCTCGACGTCATCAACCAGACATGGTCACCCATGTACGACATGATCAACATTTTCGAAGTTTTCCTACCCCAGTTACTCCGCTACCCCAATCCGTCGGACCCCCTTAATGGAGAGGCTGCTGCATTAATGATGCGGGAGCCTAAGGCATATGAAGCCAAAGTGAAAGGTTGGCATTGAAGTCATCCTAAAATCCGGTTCGATATTCTAACTAGAGTGCATAGAATACGTCGCCAAGTATGCCAGCAAAGAAGCTGTGGACGAAGCGGGCGAAGACACCGAGTCAGAAGACGAACTCAGTTCAGCGGGTAGTTACGATTCTGGTGGTGAAGAGCCCGCCGGCACAATGGACGACGTCTGATTGTCCGGCCGTCACACCTCCACCTGATATACTACCTTTTCCCGAAATCGGATCTGCGCGCACGAACATATTGCATCTCAACTCTCCTATAACACTTTCTTTTGCCATGGTATAGGATAGCGGGCGTTTCATTTATTTTCATGGTGTTTTTTTCTTGTTTAATTTGCTACCTTGATTTCGGTGCGTGGTACACATGAGCATTATTCAGGAAGGAGTCAGCGATGGACTGATGCGTGATTTTTCACCACATGTGTTATAGCTTAGTGAGGTAGTCTAGCTTTCCCAGTTGCTGCGCCATTTTGAATCAATTCCTTTGGTATATTTAATCCCTCGGCCCTGCGTTAAGTGGGCACATAAGTTGATCGGAGTACTACTAGTAGTAGTAGTTAGTAGTGGATGCTTCTGAACGAGTGATGGGGGATTGATGATCGTCTCCCCTAATACCCCAATCTACTACCTACTAGTAAGTACCTTAGGAATCTTCTATTTTCTTCTCTTTCGTGCCTGATGCCGCCGAACTGATCTGTAACCTTCTTTCCCTACCACTGCATGAGTGGAAAATCTTATCGACTGCCAACTTGAATGTGCTATGGTCATACTTGTGCACTGACAACGATACCTGAGATATTCCACTTCAATTTGGGCATCAGATGATGAACCTATACCTAGTAACAGCCTCGGAAACATTTTACCTGGATAGCTTTGGGTTCAAAATTTTGGTCACCGACATTCTCTCTGTAGTAGTTGACAGAATTTCATTCTGACCAAATTTGATTGGCTTTACTGTCTCCAAATTCACCGCAAGATAGATCTGCTCAATGCGACATTTTACTAGTAACTGACTCGAAATTCGATGGGGACAATACCTACTAGGTGATTTGATCAACTCTTTGGATTTTCAGGGCTGTGCCTAACTAGCTGGGAGATATCTGGGGGAGTGGACCGCCAAGGGCGCATCATCGATTGTCGTATTAGGTGATCAAATACGACAACTCATGATACGAACCTTTTTTAAGTTAGAGTCGATTACGCCCAAAATCATATACGCCCATTTAGCGATTATTAAAAAGTCCTTGGCCACAGATACTTTTCTCTTAGAGAAGGCCGAATTCCAAATTTTGACACACTTTCTTGGGCGTTTTAAGGCTGCGCCGCACCATCCCAAGAGGGGGCTCAGTACAATGACAGGATCCACTAGTGCATTATCCCAAAGCAGTAAAAGAGTGGCTTGCTTACGGCAACTCTTCGACTGGTAGACGTTGACGATGCCAATAGTTACCGCTATTTGGAATCAAAGCACAGCCTCCCGCACGATAGGACATGCGCCCCATCCTTCATGATGTCTTGCTAGATTGATTTGTATAAATTCTTTTCTGGAATTTCCAAAATCAACTTATAAAGAAGCAACGACCAAATCCGATACCTACTACTACTGCAAACAACTCCTTCTCCATTACCAACAGGTTGTGAAACAGACATTCCCCTTATATCTTGCTGGTATCTGTGCTCTTCTCGACCATTTCTCAAGTCCTACTCATCAGTCGATCATCCGCAAAATCGCAATCGAGCCTCCAGCAGTTCCAAATCAACCGGAAGACCATCCTTCTCCTTCCCAGCACAAATGACGACCGGCGACTGCCTTTCAGGATATTATTATAGAAACGATGGCTGTTATCGAAGTGATTGGTATATATGGGGGCGCTGGGCTGTCCTAGTCGCTGTTGCTGTATTCCTATTCACTGGCATCGCTCTATTCACGTACGTGACCTGTCTTATTTTCGGCGCAAGAAGGACTATGTTTGCTAACCCGATCTCTAGATTTGTCGCCCGACGCCGTCGCAGCAGAGGGCTGAACCCATATTATGGCACTGGTTGGATGGCACCACAAAGACAAACATCTCGCCCTCAGAATGGAGATAATGTAGAAATGCATAATCCACAGAGGCGAGCGAATACCGAGACTCTGGCCAACCCGCCTCCGGCATATGACCCGCAACGCCTGCCTGAATACGAAAACACAGCCACAACCACGATACCCAACAACGGTCAGGACAAGGTTGAAAACCAGCAAATTCGCTCTTAGATATATAGAGACTAGCACGAAGGGGGCTTTATAATCCACGGGGGGTCCCAACAGTACTTGTCCTTGAAAAGGACTAGTTTGATGGTTGCGGCACATGATGGGATGTTACCTACTTGACCAATCACCACGCAACGGGATTGGATCAAATGTATAATGTATTCGTTCTGAATTTGTTTGTTTTGTGATATTATTCTTTGTGCTTGGGATGGTTGCAACTTTTAAGAAGCGTATCTTATTATCTTTTAACAACAGTAGAACTTTTATCATCTAAACCCTTGTAATTTCTTCTACAGTGTGTCCCGAAACTGGTGCAACCACTAACACCCTTTGATTGGCTTTCTTGCCACCTGCGCCGAGATACTACTCTATATCTGGAGTTATCTGGAGTACCCATGTAAGCTGAGTGTGTATTGGTTTCTCCTCCTCCTTCTCCTTTTGTGCGTCGTATGCTAGTCATGAATTACGAGGTGTCTCGCTACCAGGTCTACTCCACACAATGCATTCATATGTACTACTTATCCCCGAATAGAGAGATATGTAGAGACGTATGATTATAATTGCCTATTATATAATCATTAATACCTAGATATCAACATGACTCGGAGGTAGAAAATACAGAATATGTAGCTCGCAGTCCGCACCAGTTCGCCACCACGACTGCCCAGCTACCCAGCATCTTCAGCAAAACACCAATGCCAGCCATGTCGCCATAGTTCTACATTGAGTAGCACGGTTGACAACTACAGCCTTCGGTGAATTCTCCTCAAGTGGCATCAGCTCGAAGACTGGAGCTCAGCAATAAGACCCTCGATACGCTGACGAATCTCCCGACGAATAGTCCGAACGGCATCTAAGCCTTCGCCGGCAGGGTCGTCAAGTTTCCAATCGAGATAGCGCTTTCCGGGGAAGAAGAGGCAAGCATCGCCACAACCCATAGTGATGACAACGTCGCTGATTTGGATCGCATCGGTGGTGAGAATCTTCGGTTTTTGGTCGCTAATGTCGATACCTTCTTCGAGCATGGCCTCGACGACGACGAGGTTGATGGAGTCGACTGGAGCCGATCCGGCAGAACGGACTTCAATGGTGTCGCCGGCGAGATGGCTCAGATAGCCGGCAGCCATTTGAGAACGACCGGCATTGTGGACGCAGACGAATAAGACGCTGGGCTTATTGACCATCGTGTATGTCTTTTGAGTGGTCGACGAGGAGATCGTTGTGGAATAGCTTCTTCAAGTTGGACGTACCAGTGACCTCAGGAGGGTGAGATTTTCACGGTCGCAGCCCTGGAGTACTTGATGGGTGTGGAGAATGAGGAATGTCTCCAGGATATCACAATGCTATGGAAAAATGATGGTGATACATTCCTATAAGCAAGAGAGACAAAAGGATTCTGTTGTTGGTATTTATATACCACGAGTTGGCTTAACAAAAAAGCAATTCAATGTTGTTCTAGAACGGTCTTATGTATGAATTGGAGTGCTGGCCCACAGTACAATAGCGTTTGATGGGGGCTTTTCATAATTCATAGGTCGCAGCGCATGCAAAATCACACCTGGAATAGAGCCTACAATGCTAAAATTGAAATTATTGCCTCATCATATCAATGATGAGTTTAGGATTTTGGTACTTGGCAAATCTGGACTTGCAGCTGGCGGCCTGCTTTATTGTGAGGCGAACGGGATGTCGTATTTGAAGATTATTTTGGCATTGCCATATCCCTGGGCCCACAAATCCATGGCAATACATATGTATGTCACTGGGACACTATGACTGGTCGAAATTTTGGTACAGTACTAGTAGTTTGTATACTATCATGGTTTCGCTATGATTGGTCATTAGCGATCTGTCACTGATCTCATGTGATTAGCTGTCATAAAAATCGCCTGACGGTCAGACTCACAATACTGTACAGTTCCTATGCCGAGTTCATTTGTCTGTTGAGATTCGTGTGGGGGTAGCTGACTAGCCTTTTTGTTATCCTTTATTATTTTACACCCTCAATCTACTGGTACTAGCTATGACCATTGACCACCACAAGCATCTCGGCCAGATCTTACGTTTCTTTGTATTGGTAAAACCACTTTGTTCAGCGAGATCCACTCGGAGTGTGATGACATAACCACCACCTTTTCTCTTAGTCCGTGCTGAAGCTGGTGACATACCAGTTATAAACATTCACCCAGTCACGAGCATCTATCGTAGTCTTAAATGCTTAAATCCAGTCAAAATTAATAAGGACGGCCGCTTATTCCTCCGTGTGTGAATATAAAGCACCCGTACCTACTGTGTGCACTCAAAAAAACTTATCATTCTGCCAGTCTCAGCCACGAGAGACCTATTCGCTACATCAACAATACCCCCCTTGAGGCTTCATAAAGTTACCGAGTTGGAAACATCTACAAAATGTCCAGCGATACCTATAATCTTGTTCAGTCCCGCTACGGTGATATCGCTAAGCAGACTGTCACCACTCAGCAGCACGAGAAAGAAGAGCAGATCGCCAGGGCCTTTGGCTACAGTGCGGAAGATCTCGGTTCGCTTCCAGAGAAGACAAATCTCGGATTAAGCTGCGGAAACCCAGTAGGGTTTGCCAATATGAAAGAGGTGTGGTGCTTAACTGATATCTTTGCGTGAAGGTGACGAATGGAAAATGCTAACCTTCGAATATGTAGGGTGAGACGATTCTGGACCTTGGCAGCGGCAGTGGCATTGACGTCCTCCTGGCGGCCCGTAAAGTCGGGGTCAACGGACAGGCAATCGGTGTTGACATGACAAAGGTGAGTGGTTCGAGTTCGAGTTCTTACCTCCATATAGACTAGAATTGATAGTAAACACAGAGCATGATCGAACTCGCCGAAAAAAATATGCAGAACGCGAGAGTGTCCAACGCCAGATTTATTGAAGCAACTATCAATTCCGTGCCACTGCCAAATTCTAGCGTCGACTGTATCATTAGTAACTGTGTTATCAACCTCGTCCCAGCCACCGACAAACCGGCCGTGTTTGAAGAGATTGCTCGCCTTTTGAAGCCGGGCGGAAGGGTTGCCATCAGTGATATTCTGGCTCGAAAACCGCTTCCGGATCACATGACTAAGAATATGGCGCTGTATGTTGGGTGTGTCGCCGGTGCGAGTGAGATTGCGAGGTATGAGGAGTACCTTGAGCAGGCCGGATTCGAGGGTATGCATACCGCCAACAAAGGCACTTGAGGGTCTTATGTATTAACTTGCCGGTAGGTGTACTCATTATTGACACGAAGTCGGACCTGAATCTGTACAAACAGTCATCTTATTTGCCTCAAAGCTCGTGCTGCGGCAGTGGGGGTTCGAGTAAGGAAACTACGAGTGACATTGCAGAGTTGGATTTCAATTTGTGGGTCGGTCAGTTATTACCATCCATCCTGGCTGAATCTTGATCGCCCTGTTCACAATTTTTCCAGGCTCGTTTCAAATCTACGCTATCAAAGCTTAGGTGACTTCACTTAATAAATGTTATGGAGATCAGGTGCTTGAATCCGGCTTGGTGAGAACGCTCTTCAAGTTGCAGTGCATGGCTTGGACAAACGCAGTCCCATATGTTCAGGATGAGTATGTACAAAGCGGTGACCGTGAGACCTTGAATTAGCCCAATTCGATCTCAATTAAATATTTCATCGTATGATCATTTATTTAGCAGCTGGAAGATGTCCATGTTATTTACCATGCAACTGGCACTAGACTGACACCCTAGTTCCGACCGCACATCCTGCATGTCGGAGTAGCTCCGCATGGATGAAATTACTATATCGGCTGCAGTTTCGCATGGGGTACATTGTCCAGATCGCCTGGAGTCCTGGCGCCAGTTGTGTGGTTGTAGCGTTGACGTATCAGGAGTGGAAGGGTCGAACGGAGCGCTCAGCTCCGAGTTCCCGTCGGAAATTCGGCTGTCAGTTGGAGCCATCTGTTGATAAGTGACTAGGCTCGAACTCGAGGTCGATGAAGTATCCTCCGTAGGCTTTTTCTCGGGCGGTGGATCGTTGCGCTCGTGATTTGATGGGCTCGGTTTCGCGGAATCCACTATATTCGGTTTGGGGGATTGCCAAGAGTGCGATCGCGCTATTAGCACAGCTTCCGAGTGCGACGTGGGAAGCGAAATATGCGCTGTATGTGCTCTTAAATATTCTTGAACTTTCTGGTCAGAAACACCATGCAGTATGAGCAGCGAGCGGAGAAGACTGTTCTCTATTGCCACTTTACGCCCAGCCTCTTGCACCTCTCGTGTAGCGTTAATGCCCTCGATCTGAAATTTCTGCAGGCGTTGCTCAAGATCTTGAATATATTCTTTACGCCGTGCACGCGAACGCCGTTGGTTATCGCGAATTCGTACTGATGACGAAATTTGATCAGTCTGGGATATTGTTAGTCCCCGAGAATAGGGCTGGATCGCACATATAGCCTCTTGCAAGGTGGCCGACCTTTAATTTTCTCGACTGTTTGTTTGGACTCTTGGTCCTGGTCCTCATCATGATGATTGTTGTTATTTTTAAATGGCTGTAAAGTGTGCTGTGGCGACTGGGCAATTCGGAGGATCCAGTACGGGGAACGAGAGTTCAACTTCAGTTAATTAAGGTAGGCAAGGCTTCCCAAGCCCACTTAGCCTGTTTGGGAATTTTATTTTACTCAGCCAATCAGCACCCGCCAGTGACATCCTACTCACTGCGTTTCCCGGCCCCGATCTGGTTATCTAGAAATTGAATATAAGAAAGACATCTGTTCTTCAGAATTGCTTTCACCCAAACCGCATAAAAATCCATACAAGGCTCCCTGATGATTGCTCGTTTTCGATTTCCCTTAGCACGCCAAATAACCCCGGTCATTGGCTCAGCGGCTAGTCTATCGCCTTACAGATATACCACCATGGCGCATCCCGCGATTGCCCAGTCGGTGCCAATTGTTCCCGACTCTGTCAATGGGTATAAAGAGCATACGATACCCCGAGCACCCGTCTCTGGCCATACCGCAGAACGGAGATGACGCCGAGATCCGTCAGAAATACCGCCCCTTCATTCTCGACGACGAGGCCGAGGACTGGGTTAGTGCCTTGGAGTTGACAACTGTCATGGACTTGGCAGCGCAGGAACTGCAAAAATCAAGCAATCGACTTAATGTGCTGGTGTTGTATGGCAGCCTACGTGGACGATCCTACTCTCGCCTGGTGGCGTTAGAAGCCAGCAGGATTCTCTTCCGTCTCGGGTGTGACGTGCGAGTATTTAATCCCGAGGGGTTGCCGGTGAAGAATGACATCGATCACGGCCATCCCAAGGTGCAGGAGCTCCGAGATCTAAGTAAATGGAGCGACGGCCATGTTTGGGTGTCCCCCGAACAACATGGGAATCTTGTGAGCACTTCTTATCTTCCCTCCCCCTTCCCATGCATGATTTCTCATTACCGACTAACTACAGACCGCGGTCTTCAAAAATCAGATCGACTGGATCCCGTTGTCTACCGGGAGTGTACGTCCAACGCAGGGCCGGACTCTCGCTATTGCGCAGGTGTGCGGCGGCTCGCAATCGTTCAACGCCGTTAATTCTCTGCGTCTTCTCGGCCGGTGGATGCGCATGTTTACTATTCCGAATCAATCTTCAATCCCGAAAGCGTATACGCAATTCCCCGATGAAGGTCAACCGGGAGATCAGAGGCTTATTCCTAGTAGTAACCGAGACCGACTGGTGGATTGTATGGAGGAGTTTGTAAAGTACACCTTCCTCATGAGGCCTCAGTTGGAAATTTTTGGTGATCGATTCAGTGAGCGGGAAGAGAAAAGAGCCAAGGAGGAGAAGCTAAGGCTAGCACGAGCGACACAACTTTAGCTACTAGTACTAGATACCTGGGGGGTTGTCTTCGTTGTATAGTATATATACCAGTACTAGTACATTGTGGCATTGAAGAAGTCAGGCTACATATTTTACTATATGCACTTGTTAATGTGAATAAATTAGCTTTGTTGTACAAGATCCAGCGGTCCTCCAACCCTCTTCTTCTAGCCTTGGATTCTAGCGGACGAGATTCGCGACAATCTGTCCAAATATGTGGAAATCTATCTTTGCTGTTGCTCTCTCTTCCAAATTCAAATCTAAATATGCTCTCCATTCGATGTTTCGATAGCAGTAACTATTAGACATTAGTAGTAACTACGAACTGATACATAAAATTTTCGTTTCTAGTGAGTCACTGACGCGTTCTAATTGGCTACAATTAGTCCCGTGCGGCAGCCAGAATGAGGCGTTGACCAATCAGCATCGGCTGATGACACTCCAGGGCTCAGATACTACGAAAGAATCGCCTTGTCTTCTGTCAAGTCAATGTTTATATAACCTCCACCTCGAAGACTCCCTCCGAGATTTCACATATCATCCGAACCTCCAACGACTAGGATAATCGCCTTCAATGGAACCAGGACCATCTCAACATATGAAGATGACCGAAATTGACTCCCCATCGGGCGCGGCCGCCCAGGCTCCTTCCACTCTCAACGACATAGAAAAACAAGCAAGCCAGTCAGAAGCACCGCAGAAAAAAAATTCTACCTTCAAAAATCTCGGCCTTTTGGACCAATTTCTCGCGGTATGGATTTTCCTGGCCATGGCAATTGGTATTATTTTGGGAAATTTTGTGCCAAGCACTGGACCTGCGCTACAACGGGGGAAGTTTGTTGGTGTTTCGGTTCCTATAGGCAAGGGCCCATCGATTTCTCTGCATTGCCCGTTTCAATATGCTAATATATATTCACAGCTGTTGGCCTGCTTGTTATGATGTATCCTATTCTCTGCAAAGTGCGCTTTGAGAGCTTACATCATGTTTTCAAAACCCGTCAGATATGGATTCAGATTGCGTTCAGTATTGTTGTTAATTGGATCATTGCCCCATTCTTCATGGTAAGACTCCAATATTTCCACTTCCTCTCTAATCCAACTCCGAAGTTTAACACGGAATACTTTAGCTGGCGTTATCCTGGGCTTTCCTTCCAGACGAACCCGAGCTACGCCAGGGGCTGATTCTGGTCGGACTGGCACGATGCATTGCTATGGTAAAAACACACCCGTTCCCCGGCCCAACAGCATTGCGAACAAACCTTTATCTTTGGACTCGACGATACTAACAGATATTCAGGTTCTAATCTGGACCGGACTGGCAGGCGGCGACAACGAATACTGCGCCATCCTCGTCGCCGTGAATTCCCTCCTGCAAATGGTCTTATTCGCACCCATGGGCGTCTTCTTCATCCAAGTCATCAGCGGCGATATCATAGCCTTTCAATACTCCACCGCCGCGAAAAGCGTCGCCGTCTTTCTCGGCATTCCCTTGGGCGCAGCAATCCTCACGCGCTTCACTCTCCGCTGGGCTACAAGTCCGCGATGGTATGATGAGGTCTTTCTGAAATGGGCAAGCCCCTGGTCTCTCATTGGGCTTTTGTTCACGATATTGGTGTTGTTTGCGTCTCAGGGTCGTCACGTTGTTCACCAGATTGTCTCTGTGGTCCGGGTGGCCGCGCCGCTAATTGTTTATTTCGCGGTTATATTCTTCTTGACGTTGTTGGTTACGTACAGGTTGGGCTTCGGGTATAAGCTCGCGGCGACACAGAGTTTTACCGCTGCTAGTAATAATTTCGAGTTGGCGATTGCCGTTGCTGTTGCTACATTTGGAGCAGACAGTAATCAGGCGCTTGCTTCGACTGTTGGGCCACTGATTGAGGTGCCGGTTTTGTTGGGGCTTGTCTATGCTGTTAAATTGATAGCGAAGAGACTGGACTGGAAGGATTAGTGAAATTCATATCGTCTTGAAAAACGTGACTGTAGTTCATCTCGGCGTTTGATAAGGTGCTTGCCCAGTTAACCCCCACAGTTAATGGGGGGGTCACCTCCACGGTCGGCCAGCAGAATATTAGCCACATCTCTCACATGAGAGTTGAACGGGATATCTGGTAATGCGTCGCAGCCATTCGTATCGCCTTGATGGTGCCATTTTTGATCTCTCTAATCACAAATAGGATTCGGCCTTCCTGGTATGTCACCAGTTACAAATTAGAGCGTCTCCATCTCGCAAAAAGTGGGGTCAAGAATCAAATTGGATTAGCGCAGCTTTGTGCTGACATCGGCTCGTTCTTCCACCCTATACCCCGTCACGAGCAAAGAGACTCTGAAATAATCCTCCCCGACAAAACTTTTCGATGACTGTCGTCTCCCTTAAAGTCTCGCTTCCTGTCTCAAAATGGCCCGTTTGAAAGTCAAAACCAAGGTGAATATTCTGCACAGATTGAATTACTGGTGGGTACACTCTGACCGCCACCTTCTAGGCTGATGATCTTACCAGAGTGCGCAACAACCAGCGGAATTGTCGTGCGCGCCAAAAGGAGTATATTCGCCTATTAGAAGAGAAAGTCCAGTCTTACGAGACTAAGCAAAAATCTCAATTTGATGTTATGCAGAAAAAGATAGATCTCCTCTCAGTCGAAACTCAGCTCCTAAAGTACTTTGTTGAGTTCTTAATGTCTCTGGTCAATTTGGCGTCTGTTTCGCGTCACCCACCATCACACCAGGCCTATGGAGTGGGAATTGAATCATACAACAGTAATTTGCTTCTGTCGTCTGGCGACAGCACCACTCTCGGTTTCATGCCGACCGTTCGTTCAATTCTGTACACGTCGAATGTGACGATGGCCATGTCCCCTAACAGCGTATAGGCAACCACCGAACCACGCGCCTCCACGTCCATAATGAGAGATAATGACTATCTACGCGGAGGGGGTTGTAATTTGTCAGCGACTTGCCTCCCCGTTGGCTCCCTTTTTGATGAAGTATCTCCATGTATGCCACAGTCATCTATGAATATGACGGAAGATCTGGAATTCCTGCACTACCCGCCACTGGAGACAGAGCCTTACAGTCATTCGGGCTCACAGTTCGAGCTGTCAGCCTTGGAAAGTCCCACGATGGACTGCAACCCTTACCTCTCGGATCTCGCCTTCCAACCCACCATCTCTTGTGCGGAGGCTTGCGAGCTCTTGATTAGCTACGTCCAAAAAAAGCCAGATTTGATGAGCCTTCACCTTAAACTTCGAAATGGATACAAAACTAGCCTTGTACAGGGAGAGGGATGCCGCGTTGACTACCATCTGTTGCTTACCGTTCTTTCAGAGAGGCCGTGATGGCCGGCCTCAGTAGAGCTGTGGGTCTCAAACACGAGCGTTGGACTGGTTTTTAATAAATAGAACAAACATGGTTGAATCAGGGTGATCAGAAAAGTCGCTCATTATCGTGGATTATCGTGAGGCATATCATGTTTCGCCCCACAGGCACTAGACTTCACTCTCTTTTCCTCCTAGCCGATCTTATTACGCAGGATTTTTTTTTCGATGCCTTTTGGCTGCAATTCAGATATAATCCTGATGAAAGGTGACATGGGACTTCCCCCCCATGTCAACCTTCGCGGTACACTCACCAGGCCACGAAGGTGCCGGCGAGATTATTTAAAATTGGCTCCAATGTGAAAGTTTTGAAAATGGGTGATAGGGTCGGGATTAAACCTATCATGAATACATGCGAATCATGTGCCCTGTGTTGGGGTAGCAAGGAGACATACTGCAAGTCTGCAGCTCGCTCGGGGTTGATGTCACCAGGTGAGCGAAATACTAGCAAAGCAAACCCCTTCTTTGAAACGAAATTCTGTTGCTAGTTTATCTTCGAGAAGGGACTTTATCAGCAGTATATCGTATCACCGGCTCGTTATGCATCTTCAATCCCAGATGGGGTCCCGGATGAGATCGCCGCGCCTATTATGTGCAGTGCAAGCACTATGTATCGATCATAGATTTAATCTGGCATCAAGCCAGGCTCTTGGGTGGTCTTTCTCGGAGGGGGCGGCGGGGTCGGTATCCAAGGTGTAGAGTTGGCAAAGGTTATGGGGTCGTGTCCCATCGTGGTTGATACCGGCGAGCCAAAGAGAACGATATCAATGGAAATGGGAGCTGAAGCATTTGTTGATTTCCAGGAATCGAATGCAATTGAGGCTGTTCTTAAGATTGCCGATGGGGTGGAGCACATGGCGTGTTTGTTACTGCTCCGGTTGCATATAAGGGCCTGCGCCAATTATACCGGCGACGGAATTGGAGCCGTCGTCATATGTGCACCGGAATACCACCAACCAATACTATGACACTCGGTCTGGACCCTTTTCAGTACATATTTGAAAACCTGACTGTCAAGGGAACTCTTGTTGGTAGCCGAAGTGATACAGCGGTCGCATTGGATTTCGCACGACGAGGCCTGCTCCGCCGGATCAGTGAGGTCTATCCAATCAACCGATTACCGGAGGCTGTGCAGAAATAACAGAGAGGAGAGGTTGCCGGGCGTATTGTCGTCGATTTCAATATGGAAGAAAGTACCTAGGTACCTAGTACTTGTACGAGAGAAAGGACCTCGGAGTCAAATAATTAGTAGTGGTAGCACTGATAGTATACTACCCTCCCAAGCCCACCACAACGCATCACTGGACAATATGCTATTCTTAGCTGGTCATAGATAAGCAAGAATAACGAGCTCCAATATTTATCCAATGAACATAAATAGAGATACTCTCAAGCAGCCAATTCCAATCCGAACGTGGGGTTGCCACCCGTACACGTGAGCGGCTCTCGGGCGGCTCTCCGGACGCCAACGGTCATTTGACTTTAGTTTGCTACACCCTGCCTCTGGGAAGCCAATCAATTTCATGTGGGATCATTCCGATAATGGTAACCTTATCCATTGTCGAAGATGGAAACTGGGCCTAAGCTCTTATCGACTGATCGCCCTCGGCACTTGTTGAGCTTCAAAATTATCAAAACTCCCATGGATTTTCGCGAGCTTTGCTACGTAGAATTCAATCCACGGAGCATATAGAATTGAATATTCTATGTGCTATAAAGGATCGGCTTTGTCTATCATCAGACTCCGCTTTTACTCATTCGGGAAAAGGAACCCTTCTGGGGTCGGTATAGTTATCCAACTACCGTCCGAGCCGATGCGGGGCCTGGACTACTTTTCCCACGGCAGGATGATAGCTATATCATCATCGCACGATCTGCGAGGAGAGGCACCCCTCCCCCGCACGATATCAAGAAAGCTCTCGGTCTGCTGTCAGGCGCATACATAAGAGGGGCCCCCTCCACAGCTTTGTCAAGCTCATCATTCACTTCTTCATAATGTCTTCCACGCAGCGTGTTGTTATCATTGGTGCCGGGATTGTTGGCACCAATCTTGCAGATGAGTTGGTCTCACGGGGATGGAAAGATATCACAGTCGTCGAGCAAGGCCCATTGCACATGCCTGGTGGCTCGACATCACATGCCCCCGGGCTCGTCTTCCAAACCACCCCTTCCAAGACGATGACACACCTAGCTCGATATACAGTCCAGAAACTTCAATCGATTGAGAAAGATGGCCAGAGTTGCTTCAATCAAGTGGGTGGACTGGAGGTGGCGACAACCCCTGCACGGCTCGTGGACCTCAAAAGAAAGCATGGCTACGCCTCATCATGGGGAATTGATGCACGTCTTGTCAGTGCCGAGGAGTGCCTTGAAATGTACCCTCACCTCAATAAAGACATGGTTCTCGGTGGATTGCATATCCCTAGCGACGGTCTAGCACTCGCAGCCCGTGCCACCCAGCTACTTATTGAACGTACTAGCAAAGCTGGTGTCCGCTATCTTGGCTCTACCCCCGTGACTGGTATCGAGCGTGCAAACGGCCGGGTGACAGGTGTGACTATTCCTGGTGGAACTGTCCCTGCAGATATAATCGTTTCCTGTGCTGGGTTTTGGGGCGTTGAGATTGGCAAGATGGTTGGGTTGCCAATCCCTTTGCTACCTTTGGCGCATCAGTACGCGAAGACGACTACCGTTCCCGCTCTCGCCGGTCGAGACCTCAACACTAAACCAAACGGCCTGAATGCAACCCTCCCAATCCTTCGACACCAGGATCAGGACCTGTATTTTCGTGAGCACGGTGGACAATATGGAATCGGATACTATGGTCATCGCCCTATGCCAGTGGTTGCTTCGTCCTTGGGCCTCACTTCTCCGAATGTCGACGAGAAGAACATGCCTTCCCGCCTCGAGTTCACCACAGAAGACTTCGCTCCTGCCTGGAAAGAATCCCAGGATCTCCTCCCCATTTTACGGAGTACTCAGATCGAGGATGGCTTCAACGGAATTTTCTCGTTTACACCGGACGGAGGTCCCGTTTTCGGGCAAGCACCCAATCTTGATGGCTTCTATGTAGCTGAGGCTGTATGGGTTACACACTCTGCTGGTGTTGCCCGTGCCCTCGCCGAAATTCTTACTGAAGGCCGATCTCAGATTGATATGACTGAGTGTGAGCTCACTCGCTTCGAAGAAATTCAACTCAGTCGTGACTATATCAGCGAAACTTCCCAACAAAACTTCGTCGAGATCTATGACATCTTACACCCTTTGCAACCAAAAGAATCCCCTCGTACACTCCGAACCAGTCCCTTCTATTCCCGCGAGAAGGATCTTGGTGCATATTTCCTCGAGCTAGGAGGCTGGGAGCGCCCATTCTGGTACGAAGCAAATGCAGGGCTCATCAATTCCCTCCCGGCTGAATGGAAGCCTGTTGAGAGAGATTCCTGGTCTTCGAAATTCTATTCACCTATCGTCGCTGCCGAAGCATGGAAGACACGAAATGCCGTTGCGATGTTTGACATGACCTCTTTCCACCGATTTGAAGTTGCAGGTCCTGGGGCTCATCAGCTACTCCAGCGACTGACAACTGGTGACATCACCACAGGCCCAGGCACCATATCTTGGGTACTTCTTCTGAATGATCAGGGTGGCATTTGCAGCGATATATTTGTGTCAACCCTGGGAAAAAATAGGTTCCAGATAGGCGCAAACACCGCTACTGACTTGGCCTATCTCTCCCGTGAAGCCCGCCGCCAAGGGCAATGGGTGCAAGTCCGCGATGTCACTGGCAGCACTTGTTGCATCGGCCTTTGGGGACCTCGTGCACGGGATGTGATCAGAACGATCAGCTCTGACGATTTCTCCAATAAGGGTCTGCCTTACTTTGGTGTCAAGAATGCAACCATCAACGGCATCCCAACAACTGTCTTCCGAAAGTCGTATGTCGGTGAGCTCGGCTGGGAGATTCAAACAAGTGCCGAATATGGCCAACGTCTATGGGATGCCATCTACCAAGCAGGCAAAAACCATGGTCTTATCGCAGCTGGTCGCGGTGCCTTCAATGCCCTAAGATTAGAGAAGGGCTATCGAACCTATGGCACTGATATGAACACCGAGCATAATCCATATGAAGCAGGTGTTGCCCACTTGATTCGATCGAGCAAATGGGAAGAATATGTCGGCAAATCTGCAGTGGATCGTCTCTCCAAACAGAATCCTGTGCGTCGCCTACGCTGCTTAACTATCGACGACGGCCGCTCTATGGTCCTTGGCAAGGAACCCGTCTTTAAAAATGGCAAGGCTGTTGGCTACGTGACCAGCTCAGCATTTGGGTATACAGTTCGCAAGCCGATTGCTTATGCCTGGCTACCTGGGAATCTAGGCGAAGGGGCTGGTGTTGAAATTGAGTATTTTGGCCGGCGTATTGCTGCCACCATCATGGCTGAGCCACTATATGATCCTGAAATGAAGAAGATGCTGGCTGATGAAGTTTCTATTGATCCAGAGCTCCAGAAGCCTGTTCGCTCTCGTCTTTAAATATTGGAATACTTGGTGCATATTGTTCTAGATGTTTTGTTTTTGAATCTTGATGTTTACCTAATGAATATGTATGACAATGAGCTATTGAGCGAGCTCATATATGAAGATTTTGTGGATACTAGTAGTTACATCAGCTATAATAGAATTCGTGGAAACCTTACTGTATATAGTAAGTCAGTCAAGTTGAGCCGAGCGACCCACGCAATGACGTCGGAGCTCTCGCCACGCGTGGCGGTACCAATCTGACTCGGACCATCTACAATTCACAATTTACAATATACCACACAGTCTTTCTTCTCTTCCATCCACAGCTTCCATTTATATCTCACAATATACCCTGCGCCACTCACCTTGTCCCCGATCACCAATACTGAATCTCTCCCTACTACCAAAATGCCTATCCCGACCGCCGAAATCTTGGACAAGGAGCGTCAGAACAACACGCATGCGACAGCCTCCGCTAGCTCCTCGGCCGAATCAAACAATGGAAATAACGGCCTTGGATCTGAATCAAGCACTGCCGATGATTCATCACGACTTTCACAACTCGTCGAGGGGGATCAGGCGCTGAGCAGAGAGGAGGCCGATCGCCTATACGAGGAGCGCATGGAGGAGGAATATGCAAAGAGAGAAGGCGGTGCATAGATTCTGGCTCTTTGAACAACAAGCGACTGTAATTTCCAGGCATCTCATCTCATCTCCTTTGTCATGTGGCTTTATTCATCTTTCCTGGCTGCGACTGCGACTGCGACTGCATGGGTGAAGTCGGTACTCGACACGATCCCACACATGCAATTATGCATTACGAGTGTACACTATCTTGCAAATCAATTGAGGCGTTCTGAATAGTATCAACTGTATAATCTATTACCATCTTTATTGATATCTTCGGATCATATGTCCCTTTGTTGCGTGAAGTGGGGGGGGGGGGGTGCCTGGAAGAGTGACTCAACATGGCCACCCTCCCTGGAGGTCGGTGAATCTCAAAACTTGAACCAATAGCCTTTCCTTTTCCCCCTCGGATACCAATCTTTGTACTTGCTCAGACTTTATCAAAAAAAATTGCACTTCACCACAAGGAGTCGATTAACACATTCCCGCGCCGGTCTGTCACCTACTAGATGGAGGCTGAATCGCAGGTCCCCACCAAGGGAGCTTTGTACCCGGAGCAACCTGTCAGAGTTGTCGTGCCTCCAAATCCAGATGTCATTGAAACCAAGAATCTTCGTCTGCGCCCATTGAAATCAAGCGACGCGGCACATATCTTCGAGTTTCGATCTCGACAAGATGTAGCAGATTGGTTGTAAGCTCATATCCAGGCAGAAGGCTCCCAGGCTCAACGTTGGCTAACTCATCTAGATGGCCGAAAATACCTCACAAGCACATCGAGGAAACAGAAGCAAACATCGCCGGGAAGATCTTTCGGACTCCCGATGCATCCGGAGCTATTGGCAGACAATTTCACTTTGCAATCATCGACGCCAAAGACCCCACACAAAAGGTTATCGGTATAGTTGGAATTAATTCCCTTGCTCCAGCTCCATCCATTGGTTACGGCCTCCATCCGGGCTGTTGGGGCATGGGCTACGCCAGTGAAGCTGTGACGGGATTGATAAATGCATGGTGGAAACTGAACCGGATAGACCCGGCGCAACTAAGATTGGCGTCAGAGAAGGAAAGACTATTCGCCGCGTGCAATAGAGAAAATTTCGGAAGCATGAAAGTTCTCCAAAAGAACGGATTCAAGGTCTATCGAGAAGTATACCTCGATGGAGATACGCTTGCGCTCCTTGTTCTAGAAAGACCGCAAAGTTAGTGGGCATCATCTACTATTTTGGGAATCAATCGTGCATCATCTGGTACATTCACCCCACATATTCAATGACGATCCCTGCCCTCGGAACTGTGAAGAGACCTTGTTCCAAGGTTTTTTTCAGATCCCAAAACCATGTACATGCCGTTAATCGGGACTTGACTCGGAAATCCCGAGTATCCACAATCGCTCGGCAATTAGACTCAGTTGAAGTGAAGAGCTGTGTTGTCCCATTGCTCATAGATTTGATACTAGTCCCTAGGTACTCATATATCAATCTCGGAAATTTAAAATTGAATATTCCGAGCTTTTCACAGCCTCCTCATTTCTAGCGATTCTGACTCTATATGGGACGTACAGGCGTGTACCCCGATTATCTAATCGGGTGAGGACGCATGTCGATCATAGCAGTTCAAGCTACTTTCTTCAAGCATAAATTGAGATCTTCAGAACGGATGTTGCTTGCTCCACCGACTATCATGACGCGGGAACCCCGGGAGAACCACCTTCAGCCGGCAACTTGAAAATTATGGATTTGGATAAAGATGTGAACGACCCCGCTATATGAAATGGAATCTAATTTAATTTATTTCAATTTCATTCTCCGGTAGTTTCCTACCTCGAAATCGCCTCACATAGCACTACCATGCGTGGGAGCATACTTTTGAGTGGACTGGGTCTCCTTGCAGAGGTAACCGCGGTATCCGAATATGGAACATTCCTGGACCCTGCCAACAATGCGAGCATGAAATTTCGGTATTGGCTGCCCGATGCTAGCGTTGATATCGAAACTGTTCAGAAAGACATTCAAGCGGCTGGTGCGCTAGGTGCAGGTGCGGTGGAGTTTCTGCCTCTCTACAATTATGGAGGGTCTCTGGCTGGGCCACCGTCAGGTGCCGACTGGGCGACGTATGGGTTTGGGACCCCGGCATTCAGGCATATTTTCAAAGCCTCTTTACAGGCTGTCAAAAGTGCCGGTATGCGCATGGATTTCGCTCTTGGTGCAAACCAAGGCCAAGGAGTACCAGCGGAGACTACTGATCCTGGCTTACACTGGGACCTTGTAAGTGAGAAGTCTCGAGTGTATGTTGTGACGTGCTGCTAATTGCTCTTTAGGCACCTTACCATCTAGAAGTTCCTATCAATGGATCCTACAGTGGACCCATTCCTGGATGGGGGACAGGAGAACTCATTGCTCTGATATCCGCGACAGTCATCTCATCTTCGCCGATCAAAAACCCTGGTAGCAGCCTCTTTTCTACACCACCCAACAATGCCACTAAACTGATTCTCCAGAGTGAGACTCTTGTGGAGCATACCGATAAGGTCAATGAGGATGGCACCGTGTCGTTGAGACTGAAGAATGGGACATCGCATGTGAGCAAACATGTTCGAGCCAGCCCCAAGCAGTACTTGTTTGCATTCTACCAATTTCAAGATCTGGTAAAGAACCTGGACATTGAGAGCAATGTCACAGGGACTATTTTCGATAACGGTTCCTACACCGTGGACCATTACAGTGCCCGGGGTGCTGAAACAACGATAGATTTCTGGGAAAACCATATCCTCGATGACACAGAGATCAGATCGCTTTTGTCTGAAGTGGGGACATATGGCTGGGAAGATAGTATTGAGATCAAATCAAACATCTCTTGGTCTTCGTCACTTCCCCAGAGATTCGAAAATATGCACGGCTATCGACTACACAAATACCTTCCCTTGTTGATGCACGGGAACAACAATCCTGGCGTTCAGCCATCACACCCGGGGTCCATCAAGTGTACGCTGGATAGTGAAGATAACGGAAGTGGCTTTGTGAATGATTTCCGTGCTGCTTTGGCGCAGGGCTATGGTGAATATCTTGAAGCCTTGACATCATGGCTGGAAGGCCTCGGGCTAGGATACTCTGCACAAGTATCTTATAACCTGCCAATCGATATGGAAACGAATATTGACCGAGTGACCGCACCGGAATGCGAATCATTAGCCTTTAATAACAACATTGATGGATATCGTCAGTTCTCTGGGGCTGCGAATGTTGCCCAAAAGCAAGTCATCTCTAACGAAATGGGAGCTGATCTGGACAAAGCTCTTCGTCTCCCAATTTCCGAGTTGTTGGGTCAGATCAATAGTGCATTTGCTGGCGGGATCAACCAAATTGTGCTGCATGGGCAGACCTTTACAGGCGACTACTATGGAACAACCTGGCCGGGCTATCTCACATTTTTCTTGCTTTTCTCCGAGTCTTACATGGACAAGCAGCCTGCATGGACGCTAGGCATGCCAGATGCCATCAGCTATATCAACCGTAACCAATACATCCTTCGCCAAGGGCAACCCCGAACCGATATTGCATTCTACAACAAAGTGTCCTACACAGACCCTCAGTTAAGCACCATATACTCTGGCAACGACCTGGTCAACAACGGTTACACCTATTCCTACCTAAACCCTACCAATCTCAACCTCTCCCAGGCATACGTGTCAAACAATCTGCTTGCTCCCGAGGCGCCTGCATTCCAAGCACTTGTTCTAACCGCTCACGAAAATGTTACTCTAGAAGCAGTTTCCAAGCTTCAAGAATTCGCCAATGCCGGTCTTCCTATTATTATCAGCGGAGGACTCCCAGGATATTACGCCAGTGGCAACGGATCACAACAGAAACCTGTACAAGAGGCTTTACAAACCCTCCAGGGCTCGCAGAACGTTCATACTGTTGAGAATGGCCAAATCACTGCAAAGCTTAACGAGCTTGATATCCACCCTCGTGTTGAGGTCATCACTCCCAAGAATGCTACATGGTATCCTATCCTACGCAGCGAGAATTCCACGGACTACATCTTCATCTTCAGCAAGGAAAGTACAGCGACGGGCCATATTATCGTCAACTCGACCAAAACCCCATATGTGCTCAATAGCTGGACTGGAGAACGAACTGCTCTTCTAGACTATCAGGTTGAAGGCCAAACCACAAAGATTCCTCTGAGTCTTGTCTCTAATGAAACTGCCATTCTCGCCTTCTGCGATGAATGGGCTTCGGAAGTTGCTACACCATCGTCGCATGCGGTTCATGTCCCCTCGAATGTCTTGGGGTATAGCATCACTGCTTCTGGAAGTTTTGTTGTGCATGCGACAACTGGACCACTTCCAAGTGATTATCTTTTGAAATCTTCCAACGGAAAGACATTCAACATCTCTGCAAACACGGGTTTATCTTCCTTCTCTTTGAAAAGTTGGAAGCTCGTTGCCGAGCATTGGGAGGCTCCACGCAACATGTCAGATGCGACGATCGTAGCTGAAAAGCATAACACGACACATCATCTCAGCTCTTTGGTATCTTGGCTAGATATTCCTGGGTTGCAAAACGCATCAGGCGTCGGGTATTATTCAGCACAATTCTCATGGCCCCCAACTTCTTCAAACAGCACTGGGTCGATTGACGGGGCATACATCTCGCTGCCACAGATTTCTCACGGCCTGAGGCTCTTCGTAAATGGGCAGCCTGTTCAAGCGTTGAATTTTGCCAGACCTTTGGTCGATATCGGTCCCTTGCTACGGAACGGTTCTAACCGTGTGGTTGCTGTTGTTCCGACTCTGATGTGGAACTACATTAGCAGCATCTACGATGATCTTGAAATCTCGGGGTCAAAGCCCATGTTAACCTCAGGCTCGCTGCCTAGCAAGGTCGATACTGGATTGATCGGTGAAGTCAGAGTCATCCCTTACACTGCCCACGACATTTCTCCCTAGTCACATGCCCGGGTAGTTGGTGAAAAGAAATCGGTTCATCTTCGCCCTTTCTTCTATTCTATGTATAATACACTAGTCGTTGCCGTTTAGTTTGAGCTCCTGCTCAATCATGAATTATGCTTCTCGATCGTACATCTCGCAAGTTTTTCAAGCGCCGTAACAACCTTCCATGCTCGCTCGGATTTTGAAGGCTCACCGCTCAGTTTGTCTTCTTGCTCTCCTAACTCTCGAATCTGAACCGCCATCAGCCGGATGAGCTCGAGGTCACTTGTTGCCTCGGGCGCTTGTGGATTTGAGATGATGTAGCAGAATATTGACACGATGGCCGAGAGCGGGTAAAATAATATCAACCTAAGATTATAATGGTGAGCCCTAGGTAATGTTCATGGGTCAATGAGGAGGCGACACATACCAGAAATCCTTTGGAGCCAACGCATACCCCACTGCCAATAAATAATAAAGTGAAGAGCGGCACGCGGCGATCGAAAGGATCAGGCTAGAGTTCACACCTTGGATCTCCGGTCCTTGTTTTCCCGACCAAGTTCCATATCGCCCACAAGCTTGATGGATATATGCCATGCAGTAGTGATATTCCAGGCGCAACATTAGGGACCTTATGTTCGGCGCAGAAGGTCTGCGGGCTTCCTGTGAAAAAAGCAAGGTTGGGCGATACTCCGCCGGAATAGACATGCGCCATTGTTCCAGATCTACATCCAGCTGGCGAATACCACTGAGAATGAGGGCATCGCTTTTGTCCAGGGCTCGTCGGGAGTAAAGATCGATGTATGCAGTTGACTTGATCCGACTTAACCGTAAGTCACCCGGATAAACCACATTGTCATCTCGTTCAAACTTAAGTGAGAAGTTGAGGTTTTCCTCGTATGCCGTTGGAAGATTGAGGTCGCAGTTGTACTCGAAAAGAGCCGGTGGTTGTCCTGAGCGAATACATAATTCTTTGTCCTGTTGGTAACATATCCAGAACAGGTTTCTTAGATGGTAGTCGCGTCGGAAATTTTCATCGCCGGTTGAGAGGAAGGTATTAGCTCTTGAGTAGCAGTCTGTAGTGTGGGCTCCGAGCCATAGAATGTGGCGTGCAGCTATGGTATTGCTCATCATGCCGGCTTGGACGTTTCCCGAGAGAAGATGAAAGGTCACAAGCATCGTAATGGCCTCTAATAGCTCCAGATGAGGCTGTTGCAGTAAGTTGATCGAGGCCATTATTGATGTCATGATTTCAATTCGCTGCGGAGCCGGCAATGCCGCAGGCCTTCCGGAGAATGGAGTGGGAAAGGTCGAGATGAATGCCCAAGTAGCCCATACACAGATCTTTGCTGTATGAACCCGATAAGGCGCTTCCTCTCGGGCTCCGTACGCCACATCCATGGTGTCCTGGAAAAACACCTCGTCAGGGATCGGCCAACTTCGACTATGGACGGTGTTCCAGTAGGCGTTAGTGAGTTGGACCATAGTTTCTCGGCCGGGTAGAGTCATCTTATCCAGAGGTACCGCATTGAGGCATCTCTCTGTGTCAATGATTGGATCGCGTTCCCAAGGTCGCGAGGCCGCCAAAGAAAGATCTGCTGGCATTTTCTCGCCGGTCAGATCCTCGACCCATTTCTGGCCTTCGGGGGAGAATAAAACAGCGCCATCGCTAAGGTTGATGTTTCCAACATGATGGATAAACGGGCGAACTTGAACTTCATTGGTGGGTTCTACTCACAGGACATCTTAATGATTTGAAGACGGGATATTTTGGAGCAAATGACAAACCTGGTTCATGGTTTTGAGGTTCTTGTTTTGGGGAGGCAGTTTCACGCACTCTCATTAACTTTCTGTTCGTCTTACTTTTTTTGGATATGGTTTCCAGGTCAGCCGGTCAAATTTTCCAGATAGTCGCCAAAGCTGTTGCACGCGACATACCGCTGGGCAGAAGACCCTCGAGGTCCCCGTTGCCTTTTCCGGTCATAAGTACAGGCGATGCCTCGATGAGCACACCAATTACATCGAGGTTGTGCATCGTCACATTTGATCTAGCAGGGGTTGTCAGTCTTCACTCTTGAATCATCGGAGAGGGGGAGAGAAAACGAGGCAGCCACCTTCTGTCGGAAACAATTGTCGCATGCCTGGGAACTGCGGTCCTTGGAGTTTGCAAGGAAATTGACCATGGCGCCCGCGCAGGTCTAGTGCCGTCGAACCTTATCTGGGATCTCACAGTCAGGAGTAGATGAGAAGTGAGCGAATCCCCGAGAGGCCGGCTTCCGAGTTGACCTTTCCGGGGAATAAGGTTTGGCCAGGCGGCCAGCCGACGATCAACGAAAAAGCGGGCCGGCCTGCGGCTACGAACTTCGGGAAATATTCAAGTTGCTGGAGTCTTGCTATTTTACTGTGAAACCAGAGACTCGATTACGGTGGGGGTCAGGGGGGGGGGGGAATGCAATGCCAAGGAAATCGAGCGGCATGTGAAGTGCGAGCTGCTGATAAGTCATGGAGTTTTGTTGCTAGTACAGGCATATTTCTGCGTGACATTGAAGAGCATTACTACTATCCTAATCAATTTGAACTCGTGCTACTACTAGTAATCCTAGGATACAAGTAGAAAAAAATACCACAGATTCCAGAGCGATAAGGTGATATATCTGGCAGCTTTAAGTGCCTAGATACGGAATACTAGTATTACTGATAGAAGTTTGCTCTTCTACATGTGCAGACATGGAGAGCAGCTGACTAGCAAAAAGGAAGCTCCCGCGGCGAGTCTCGAACGCACGATTAAAAGTTCAACCACGTCTCCCACCTCAACGAAGCATCTGTAAGGAAAAAAAAAAACTGGTAGCTTCTCTTTGATTGAGCGTGTCATCCTTAGTGCAGGGGCCATGCTAATCTTCTCTGTATATTTTCATTTGACCAAATGTCCCGAAGGACGAAGGATATCTCGATTAGTTGAATTATATTGGGGGTTGAGTGGCAGTATCTTTCCGCCTAAGTTGGTTGGTCATGTGATTAGTAAGGCATGGTGTGGGAGGTCTGGTTTTGGAGAAGTAATTATTTCTCCAGGTATGATGGAATGACCGCTGCCAAAGAAGACAGTATCCCATTCCAAAGCTGGACATGTCAGGAGAAAGAGTAGGAGCATGTCAAGAGAACATTGAGGGCAAAGTTCTGGGCGGGGTCAAAGTGGGAAGGAGGGGAAGGGTTCTGGCTCAGTTGCCCTAAAAACCGCCCCGGTTTGGAAAGGTCACAAGATTGTTTAGTCCCCCATATGTACGTAGTACACCCCCAAGGCTCAATTCATACGCAGTAGAGCTATTTAGGAATATATTTGGTTCATTGCAAGATTCGAGGACATAAATCGGGAGTTAAGAAGAACAGGCCGACCACCCAGTTACCTCGCGACTTCTTCTCGCTGGGAGAATAAAATTTCCAAAAATCAAGCTCAACTGAAAATCATAGTTTAGTTACACATACATACTCGATAATTATCGGCGGTTCTCAACTCTGAAACACTCCCTGGAATCTCGAATCTATCAATGGGGGCTGTCGAATGACGACGCAGGCGGAGGCGCCACACGTGATATCACGTGCACTGCGGCCAGGTCAGAGAGGCCAGGAGGTAGCTTCAGATCCCCGGCCGACGCCGTCATCTGTGTCCCTCTTTTATTCCCTCAGATCTCAAGATCTTTTCCCTTTCGGTGTGCACATTTGGTGGAAAGGCACGGCTCCAAGAAGCCTTCCGTCCGCCATGGCCCCCCAGGATACCTTCTTCCGCTCGTCGGACATGAGCCTGACCCAGCTCTACATCGCCAACGAGATCGGCCGTGAGGTTGTCAGCTCACTCGGTGAGATTGGCCAGGTTCAGTTCAGAGATGTATGTGTCCCTCCCAATTGAAAACCCTTCCGCTTGCGATGTCAAAGCGACAAGATGCGCTGACGCCCATGATGTTTTGTCTAGCTTAACCCCGATACCAACGCTTTCCAACGCACGTTCACCAAGGAGATTCGCCGTCTGGATAATGTGGAACGACAACTCCGTATGTTGAAATTGGTTTCTTTGTGAAATCCTGGTGGTACAACGTGAATCGCCTGCTAATCTTGTTATCTCAATGTTAGGCTATTTCCACGCTCAGATGGAAAAGGCCGGTGTCACTATGCGACCATCGAACGACTTCTCGGATACACTGGCTGCTCCTCTAGCTTCGGAGATTGATGAGTTGGCCGAACGCAGTGAGAGTCTTGAGCAGCGCATCGCTTCCTTGAACGATAGCTACGAAACCTTGAAGAAGCGCGAGGTCGAGCTTGCCGAATGGCGCTGGGTCTTGAGAGAAGCTGGTGGCTTCTTTGACCGGGTTCGTATAGGGTTATCTAAACAGCTGTGATGAATATGACACTGATGAAATATCACAGGCTCACACCCAGACCGAAGACATCCGCCAGTCCTTCGACAACGACGAGGCGCCCCTTCTCCGCGATGTCGAGCAGCACGGCCCTGCTGGTGCAAATGGGGATACCCAAGGACAGCAGAGTTTCTCAGAACTCAACATTGGATTTGTCTCGGGTGTTATTCCCCGTGACCGTATCGGAGCCTTTGAACGTATCCTTTGGCGAACACTGCGTGGCAATCTTTACATGAACCAGTCCGAAATCGCCGATCCCATCATCGACCCTACAAACAACGAGGAAATCCACAAGAATGTGTTCGTGATTTTCGCTCACGGTAAGAACATTCTCGCCAAGATTCGCAAAATTTCCGAGTCCCTGGGTGCGTCTTTGTACGGAGTCGACGAGAACAGTGAATTGCGACGTGACCAGATCCATGAGGTCAACACTCGCCTCGGCGATGTGACTAATGTGCTGCGAAACACCAAGAGCACTCTGGATGCGGAACTCTCGCAGATCGCCCGGTCTCTCGCAGCTTGGATGATCATCGTCAAGAAGGAGAAGGCTGTCTACGATACCCTGAACAAGTTCTCCTATGACCAAGCCCGGAAAACTTTGATTGCTGAGGC